ATATTTTATTCCTGTGGAACTGGTGTACAATTTTGAATCAAGTAAAATCAAGGCACTAGTTTTTAGGCCAAAGGTCCAAAGGGATAGAAAACAAATATCAATATTATTCAGCATGAAAATATAGTTAAGCCCTGATTTAACTGAAACAAACAGCATTCATTAGTCCAGGGAGAGGGATTTTGATGGTCTAGTTTACTTCCCCAATTTTCCCCCCAAAACATTTCCCATTCTACCTGAATTCACCCTATTTCAGAGGGACCCCATTAAGCGAATTGCAATTGGCTAAAACAACTTAAGCTTGCAGTCTAAAAAACAACACAGGGCTTTTGAACTGACATGGGAAGATCAATAAGCACAAAACGGGTGTTGTAAAGTTTCTTATGTCCAGCTTTACCTTAAAAATCCATGTTATTTTAAAATGGAGCGAATGGCAGTGACTACAGTGCTGTTTGCTTCATCAGTAGCTGAACGTAATGAAAGATCACAGGGTTTTAGAGTCAGCCTTATTGACTGTGTGAGGATATTCATCAGTACGTTGATACTTTCTACCCTATATGTCCCGATATATCTATCCTAAGTCTGTACTCTGGTGGGGAGGCTACATGTTGGAACATTGCTGTGAGGATTTGATTGCATTTAGCTACAACAGTATTAGTGAGGTCAGGTACTGATGCTGGATGACTAGTTCTGCATCACTCCAACTCAGGTATTTGATGGAGCTCCATCACTCCAGAGAACACAGTTCCACTGCTCCATAGATCAATGCTGGGGGCTTTGTATCTCTCTAGTAGAGGGCTGGCATGTGGCATGATAATGTTGGGCTTGTGTGGCTGCTCTAGTGTCCCATTCTCTTAGCAATGCTTTTCTATAGAAAAGCTGTGTTTGTGCAGTTGAACACCTGTGTTAGCAACATGTTCACCTGAAAGTAGCTGAATTCACTAATGAGAAGGGGTATCTGGATACTTTAAACATTCAGTGAACATTTAGCGTATGACCAGTTTAAGGAAAGTTGGTCTGGCGACACCTAGTGGTCATTTCAAACACATTAGAGAAAAGGCGGCTTTTGCAGGATCAAGAGTTTTTTTGTTTGTTTATTTGTTTACCAGTGGGCCTCAGTCCTGCTCCTGCAGCAGCCTTTAGTGTTTCCTACCCATGAGCTGATGAGTTGAATCAGGTCAGTATGGCTAAAGGTGACTATAGTAGCCAAAAACCTCAAATGATCAAATAAAAGCATTGTCACAATAAAATACCAGTTTATTAGGAACACTTACCTTGTACTTACACTCATTTTATCAGGGTCTTAGACATCTCAGTGTCAGAAAGCATGTTTACGTGAATAATATTATAACTGTGATTTGGTATGCGGGCGCGAAACAAAGGCGATAAGCTAATTCAGGCTTAGCTAGCTAACGTTAGCCTCTGCCCTTTTATGTACCTCACGCACTTAAAGTTAGCTAACGCTAGCTGGCAAGCAACTCGATAGCCAGCTATATCGACCATAATTTGCTGCAGTACATTTTGTAAGTATGTATCTTCACTCTGTAATTACTTTGGCCTACTATTTCACTCGTATGATATAGTGTATTTTGAATAAGGCCTTATTTTAGTAAGCTTTCAGCAAAAATCTTGTCAAATATTTGGTTTCTGCTGGCAAGTAGTACCAGGGTCTGTAGATTCCAGCGAAGACAATGTTCAGAACCAGCCAAAATTAATGAAGAATACAAGTATCAAAAAGAGTGTTTGAACATAATACTAAATAAACATTTAAAACAACTTCACATCAGTAATAAACTGCTGGGTATGCTGATGTCTTTCATTTGACAATTTGCAGATAAGTATTTAATTTGTGCTGGTCCTTTGTGTTTATTGTCACTGGTACAAAGAAACAAGGCTTTTACCATAGTTTTTAGTTTCCTTGTCAATCATTTGAGAGATGCCTGGAAAAACTAATTTCAATAAAATTGAAATTAAAAGGACATTTAAAGTATGTTATTTGCATATCTATCCAATTAGCAAAGCTTGCAGATGTCTGCTTTTGCAGCACACACTCATCAGTGTTTTTAGAACATTAACCTTTTTTTATTTAAATGCATCATATGTAATAGGACCCACAATGTCATGTAATCAGAAATGCAAGCAACTAACAATATTGCAATCAATGAAGGAAGCATAACTATTACTCATACCCATTAAAACTTGGTTACCTGTGCTAAACAGATCACAGGCCATTCTAATATCCTGCTATTGCATAACTACAAACAGTCAGAAATGTTTCAACATTTTCAACTAAGAGTGCACTGGACAATCCAGGCCACAGCTTGCCTTTGGGCGGGGCAGTTAATAAAATTTTACTGATGTGTGGATGGTTGTCAAATAGTAAAGAAACAGATGGGCTACAGTCAGTAATTGTAAACCCAGTGCAGTTCTGTGGGAGATATTTCTGATCAAATGGCCGCAGAGTGTAGGCAGAAGGTTGGTGTTTCTAATAAACTTGCAACTCATGGAATGAGAAATAAAAGTAGCTACTGAAAAACAACTTGAGCAGGAGGAAAAAATTATATCAAGTCAAAAAGTAGTTCTGAGTAAGAACTACAGTGGCAGTTAGTATATCCAGCATGCTGTTCTCCCCTTTTCGGGATCCTTTCAACCTAAAATAAAATGCTTACGTTCGAGCCTGAGAGGTGTGAGCTACGGCAAAGGTGCTGAACCAACAGAACAGAATGAAGTTGCTCCCAAAAATAGGAATTTGGCACAATGTGTGAAGAAACTGTCTGTTTGTCTGTCTGTATATATTCGAACCGAGGAAAAAGTACATGCTTTTCCTCATAAATATACACCAACCAGCAGCTTTAATAAGTACACCTTCCTTTTATCTACGCTCATTATCTATTTTATCAGCTCCACTTACCATATTGGTACACTTTTTTACTTCTACAATTACAGACTGTAGTCCATCTGTTTCTCTGCATACTTTTTAGTGCCCTTTCACCCTATTCTTCAATTGTCAGGACCCCAATAGGACCACCACAGAGCAGGTATGATTTGGGTGGGGGATCATTCTCAGTACTACAGTGACACTGACGTGGTGGTGGTGTGTTAGCATGTGTTGTGTGTGTTGCACTGGTGTTAGTGGGTCAGAGATTATATCTAATCTCATTTAAAATAGCTCCTGAAAAAGAACTAAAAGTAGCATCATTTAAAAATACTCAGAAAGTCCATCAAAACTGTAGTTAAGTACCTGTAACTGAAATCATGTGGTTAAGTACTTCAGTTGGACGCATGCCAAATGCAACAGGGCAGTTATTCAGGGTTGAGAAACACTGTTTTAGACAGTTTAGTGACACTCCCTTAAAGAAAGACATTGCACAAGTGAGTATACACAGACACAGTGCTAATCTGCTCAAGGTTATTTTTTACTTTTTCTGGATAATTAAATTGTTAAGATATGAATAAAGTCATTCAGAGTGGCTTGATGTGAAAGGTTTCATTCCGGAGAGTCACAATTGTTCACAGTGGGGGTGATAGGAACCAGACGTCTGAAGCGTTTAATGCCTCTAAAAGCTCCCTCACAGAAAGTTATTCCATGAAATGGTTATGAAAAAGTTGTTTGATGCCTGAAACATTGTTTCCCAATAGTTTTGAGATAAGATTTTCACAAAAACTTACTGTTTAAAACATGTTAATGGTAAAGAAGTACATGCAGGGTGTAGTACCCTCTCAGAAATAAAGGGTAGGAAACTGTCACTGTTGTCAGTGGGGTGGTACCCTCAAGATTACATCTCAGTACTTTTAGTCAGGGAACATAATTGTACCGTAATCCATTGAAATTATATTTTCTAAGTTGTATTGACTCCACACACCCCACAATTTTATTGTTCTGTTTTATTTAATTGTTCTGTTTTATTATTCGTCAAGTGTTTGTACTCCATTTGTACACAGAGAACGCCCATTATAGCAAACTGTCACTGTTGTCACTGGGGTGGTACCCTCAAGATTACATCTCAGTACTTTTAGTCAGGGAACATAATAGTACCGTAATCCATTGAAATTATATTTTCTAAGTTGTATTGACTCCACACACCCCACAATTTTATTGTTCTGTTTTAAAACATTAGTTTATGAAAAGGTACAAATATGTACTTTTGACCTGGGAAAAACTTATTTAAGGTTCACAATTGGACCTTAAAACCACTGTTGTACCTTTGAGGGAACATTTACATTGTTTGTACCTTGATTAACGAAAAATGGCTTAAAAATGTATTTTCTCATCTTTACCACAGTTTTTATTATTATCAGCATAACATATAAAAACTCAAGTAAAAGACTGTAGAAATTGCAACCCCCGGTTCCCATTGCCAGCACTGTAAAGAAATCTGAAGAAGTCAGTATGTTTTTCTACAGTGCACTATTTCCCATCAAACCATTGTGATTGACTCTGTTTACATCTCAACTGTTTAATTATTTAGAAATTTTGAAAAATCTGTGAAATTCCAATTTAAGCTTTGGGGATATCATAACAAATTTGACATAAAGAGGAAATAAATCTACTCCAATGGAAGTGTTTAATGCAGCATTATATGCTCTATATGACTGCTGTACTGTGTAGGTATGCAGTAAAAACATATTAAACATTCCCACACCTTTCTCTCAAGCACTTTATTTGACATGATATATGTCAAGGAGCCCAGGAGAGAACACTGGGTCATGAGGCCATTCTGCCCACATCATTAATCCTCAGTCTAAATCAGCGTCAAGTGTTTGTACTCCATTTGTACGCAGAGAACGTCCATTATAGCAAACTATATGTGAAGCAAAGCACATGTTTGCACCAAAAAGAGAGACAAAACATCAAAGAATATCCTCCATATCTTAAACTGTATCATTCCACTGTTACCTTTAGAACCTCACATAAGGCCTCATTGTAACACAGTAGACATTTTGTAATCATGCAACGTGGACATCCACGCAGAGAAGCAGGGAATGCACACAGAGGGGTATAAGTAGGCTGGAAGACTGTGGGAGGAACTCAGACCTGACTGACCGCTGCAATGGCACTTCAGCTGCTTTCTGCTCTGTGCTCCGTAGCACTGCTCTTCACTCTGACACTGGGCCTGCCCGTGCAAACAGGTGAGTAGACAATAAAGCCAGGGCGTTTCTGTCCACCAAATGAAAATGCAGCATTTATAGTAAAGAGGGATGTTAGACATTCTGCATCCCTTTACCTGAATGTACCTGTGCTTGTTCATACTAAATATGAATACATCTTTATACATCTCTTATAGTCTGTCTATAAAGGTTCTTTATCTATCAGTGTACGTATGGATGTTCTATCTATTTCTCTGTATTTTGCTTGTACGGTTGTATGCAAAAGGTTGAACACCCCTGGTCAAACTATATGATTTGTTTATTTTCTTAGTGAAAATTAGTTGATACATCTACGGCAGACAAACATATATTTTTCACTAAACTTTGTGCACAAATTCCCATTTATTTACTGAATTTAACATATTGAAAAACTAAACAAAAAATAACAAAACATAAAATATAAAATGTGCCACAACTTTTGCAGAGGCCACATTTAATCCTCCTTCAGATGCTGACTTTTGTGATGGGGTTGCATGTAAGGTTTCCTTCTGATGCCTCTTCCACGTAGATCATGTTTGTGCAAGCAACACTGCACTGATGAATGGTGTCCCACTCCTTCTGTGTCAGCTAAATTGTCCTGCAAGTCCTTTGCCGTCATGTAGGTGTTTTGCTTTGCATTTCTAGCCAGAATTTTCTGGGTCTTCCAGATCTTGGACTTCCACATTTGCCATTTCTTAATGACATTTCAAACAGTCGAAATTGTGAGCTGGAAGTGCTTTGTTAACTTTTGTTGCCTTCACCTGCTTTGTATGCATTAATTAGCTTCATTTTCAAATCCAAAGCCAGATGCTTAAAGGAGTTCTGAGACTTTCCAAATTTTTACACTTGCCACAATCACTGTTCGAAAATGAACAAAATATGTCATTGGCCAGGGCTGCCCAAACCTCTCTCTATCTATCTATAATCTATCTACCTATCCATCCATTAACCATCCACATATACATCCACCTATCTTTCTGCAGTTGGCCATTGTATGGTTGTGATATATCATTTGCATTATAAACTTTTAGGTGACACTGATGCCTTGTTTCAGTGTAATTTTAACCTTAGTCTAATCATTCATATTTGCATCTGTTCTATTCTGTGGATAGAAACTGCACAAAAATCTTTCATGGAACACTGTGTATTCAGTACTGATATTCTCCACAGGGTATTTCTGACCCAGAAGTGTCTGTTCATCTCTCTTCTTTTCTACCCATCCACTTTTTCTAACAGTAAACTTTCCTAGTAGTGCTCAAATGAATTCACAAAGATTTTGGTTACATTGTGTTCTAAAAGTGTTGCATACTGGTTTTGAATAGCAGCAAACTTCCAGTATCAATGTAAGATATTTTTAGGAGTTATACCAAGAACACAGTCTGCATTTATAGTGATTTCTTATGCAGTTCGTTACAACCAGGGATGCAAGTAGGTTTGGACTAAAAAAAAAAACAGCTCTGGTGCTGGTTTAGCTGGTCACCCAGCATAATACCAGCATCCAAAACAGAACATATGCTGGTTTGTTAGCATGCATACTTTGGACGGTGAGTTTTGTGATGGGGCTGCTGACCAGAATGCCAGCATCCAAAACACAGCATAGGCAATTGATGTTTCTAGCAGGAGGGTGTAGCTCTGATTTTTTCAATAATTTGTTTTAATTTGACTCACACAGTATACACACACAGTATGGACAAAAGTATTGGAACATGTACACATTACACCTGATTTTATGATTTTATGATATCCCATTCTAAATCCCTAGGCATTAATATTGAGTTGGCCTCCCCACTTTGCAGCTTCCAGTCTTCTGGGAACCTTTCTACAAGATTTTGGAGTGTAAACTTTTGCCTATTCATCCAGAAGAGCATTTGTGAGGTAGCACACTGATGTTGGACGAAAGAGCCTGGCTCACAATCTCCAGTCTAGTTCATCCCAAAGGTGTTAGATGGGGTTGAGGTCAGGGCTCTGTGTGGGTCATTCAAGCTCTTCCACACCAAACTCACCCAGCCATGCCTTTATGGACCTTGCTTTGTGCACTGGGGCTCAGTCATTCTGGAACAAAAAAGGCTCTTCACCAAACTGTTCCTACAAAGTTGGAAGCATACAATTGTCCAAAATGTCACTGTATGCTGAGGCATTAAGATTTCCCTTCACTGGAATTAAGAGTCCTAGGCCGATCCCTGAAAAACAGCCCCATAGCATTATCCCTCCTCCGCCAAACTTTAAGTTGGCACAATGCAGTCAAGCAGGTAATGTTCTCCTGGCATTCCCCAAATCCAGACTAGTCCATCAGGTTGCCAGAAAAAGAAGCGTGATTCATCACTCCACAGAATACATTTCCACTGCTCCAGAGTCCAGTGGCGGCATGCTTTACACCACTCCACTCAATGCATGGCATGTGGCTGGTGGAGTAAGGCTTGCATGCAGCTGCTCAGCCATGGAAATACCTTGAAACTCCCAGTGCACAGTTTTTGTGCTGATGTTGATGTCAGAGGAGGTTTGGAGTCAAACCTAGTAGAGCGTTAGTGCGTTTTATGCACTATGCTCCTCTCAGCACTTGACAACCCGTTCTGTGGTCTGCCACTTCGTGGCTGAGTTGCTGTGGTTCCTAAACTCTGCCACTTTTCAATAATACCACTCACAGTTGATATCTAGGAGAGAAGAAATTTCGCAAACTGACTTGATGGAATGGTGACATCCTATTACTATTATCCTATTAGTGTATACTATTTATACACTTGTGGCAATGGGACTGAAAGAAACACCTGAATTCAGTAATTAAGAGTTGTGTCCCAATATTTTTTTTCCATATATATATATATATATATATATATATATATATATATATATAAAGGTTAGCTTGTTTAATTGAAATTGTAGCTTCATTAGTTACTTTACTTAGACACTTTCTAATGGAATAATTAGGGAATGTCTAAGGGGATGCAAACTTTTGTGCCTACCATATAAGTTTTTTTTTCAACAGACAAACACCTATAAATAAACATGGACTACTGTTTTGGTGATACATTGTTAAACACAGGTAGATTTTCAGTTTATCACTCTTTTGCACTGTATAGTGATAAAGCCGCTCTCCACTCTCTTTACTGAAACAGACGAGCTGAAGACGGTGCCAATCAGAATCACAGTGATGGATGATCTTAGCGCCATGTTACAGTCGTACCACACCTCTGTGCGTGAGGGAGGGGTGCTGTACGGGGCATTAAGGAGATTGGAAGACAGCAAAAGCGGATTCAAGTAGGAAACACATACACAAATGCATACACACTATACTGTTTCATGCTGCAAGATACCATTAGCCCCCTTTTAGAATTAACAATGTTTTTAGATTTCTGCATAATTTAATCATTGAGATGTCATTCAGAGTGTTTTGATAGAAATAGTATACTGACTAAGATGTCTTAACAGTGCGGGTGTTTACAAGGCAAATATAGCCATTTTATTTACTATCCAAAATGACCAGGGAAACTGTTTTTATGCATAATGTTGAAAATGGTAAAATAATGGTAAATCTTATATAAAAATGTGCTTAAAATGCCCTGTATGAACACAAAACTATCATAAAACTGTACAATAAAAATGCCTTGAAAAAAAATAAATAAATAAAAAAATGCATAATGCTGTGGTACATTGATTTAATACATTTTGCCATGCAGCAAAAATAAGAAGTGCCTGAAAAATGATATAATGTTTCCATTTTCAGTTTATTAGAACTTTCAACATTATAAAACATAGTATCATACCAGAATGGCAGACTTTCAAATGTCGAAGTGGAGTTTTGCCTGATCCATTCAGACTAGTTTCTCAGCAGCATAGAAGCCCTAAACAATCTGTAGCCATGAGCTAACTTGCTAGCCATATTACAATGATACAGTCCAATACAATGCAGTACAGTGCAATACTTTATGATATGTTATGTGTTCTAATACAATGTGACCATTCTAATTCTTATAGGTGTTTGTAATTAAGTGGCTAGTGAGTGTTTATACAATAATAAAAATAAATGGGTTCTTTGACGCAAGACAATAAAAAAGATTTTTTGTTGCATTTTTCAACCTGTATGTTACTATTATAAATGTGTTTTGCATCAATGGGTTTTCTAATCATTTGTAAGTACAGAAAAAAGTGTTGAAACTGTCCACAGAAATCGACTGGACGCTACAGATGTGGTAGATAGAGATCAGGTAGAAAGGCTGGAGTAAAGAACCATCCACTGAAAACATAGTGTATAAGGAACTTTAGCATCATGGATCAGGAACATATAATAGGTGGAGGATTTTAGGGTTACTAACGAAAAGAGCTGAATATCCAGTTCAGGACTTCCTAACTACACCACACCAGGGATGGAGTAGTTACTGGTGTTAATGATATATAGCAGTATAAAACCCAATGAAATACTGGTTGTTATAAATCATTTTAATAATAAAGTACATGATGCGATTACAGACATATGCAAAAGTTTGCATGCCCCTGGTCAGTTGATATTTTGTTGGCTTGCTAAGTGAAAATAAGTTCACATTCTCTACAGAGGAAAAACTTCTACACATTTTAATACACAACTACTGTTTATTTGCTGAATTTAAAGTGTTATATAATGGCCTGTGCAGAAGTTACGGCGTGTTTCACTTTTCCGATATGCAAAACTCATCAAATAAAAAGAGACTGTGCACTAAATATGCGCTGTGCGCTAAAAAGTGCCATACTGAGGTGTGTTACCTGTAGAGGATGTGTATTTATTTTCACTTAGAAAATCAACAAAACATCGTTTGAACACATTTAAACACACATTTGTTTAAATTGCAGTTGTTTTTTGGTGTACTAAGATAATGTGAGAGCTACAATTAAAAATGTATATAAATGTAATGCCAGTACTGAATATATTAAGAGACTTCAGCTTGCATTATTATTGATACTACATTAATATCAGAAATTGTGATAATTTTGGTAACTGATATGTTCATCCCTACATCGCACCATAAAACAGATATAAGGTGTAATTTCATTCTGTTACAAGCAGAATTAAGAGGTGATGTGAAGAGACACTGTGGGGAATAGATACCCTGTCTATACACTCATGTCTCTGGACTCTGGACTTCTTGCTCAACCGGGGGGCTGTTAATTTACAAGACATGCACACTTTGAGTAGTTTGGCAAGACTGACAACATTCCAAAAGACTGCAATTCATATTTAAGTTGTAACTAATTGTTTTGGCTCTGCATGTGTGATGGTATAGTTGCATCACTGTAACTCTGTAGGTTCACGGTGACGGTGGACCCTGAACTTTGGACTGTTTTTGGAGAGTGTGAATGGAGTGGCAGGTTCGAATATTAAACACACGTACTGGCAGATTCTCTCTGAGCACGATGGTACTGTCACCGTGCTGGACGTGGGTAAGGAGTTGCCTCCGGGCACATAAACACTCTGCACGATGTTTCTACAAAACCCTTAATTCCAAAAGAAGTTGGGACAGTTTGTGAATCGCTAATAAAAACAGAAAGCAGTGAATAGTAAATTCTGTTATACTTGATTTAAATTAATTCAAATTCCAAAAAAGCTGGGACAGGAGCACATTTACGAATGTGTAACATCACATTTTCTTTTAACAGCGCTTAATAATTGTTTAGGGAAAAAAAACACCAATGATCTGTTTAAAAGACAAGCAATCCAAAAGTAACAGAAAAGAATCAGATTATGGTGCATTAACATAGTAATCCTTTGGATTAGACATGTATCTGTGCTTGGTATAGTGTCGTGGGTAACACCTCTGCCTTCTATGCTGTAGACTGGTGTTCAATCCCCTGCTCTGGCAAAGACCCCACACTACGTCAATGAGTCCTTGGGCAAGACTCCTAACACTACCTTTGTCTACCTGTTTTTAAAAAAAAAAAAGATCAAATTGTAAGTCGCTCTGGATAAATGCGTCTGGCAAATGCCGTAAATGACCAAAATGACCAAAAGACCACATGAGAAATTGGCTCAGATCTGATTTGAAAAGGTCAGATTTGCGTGGCCACACAGCTCTGAAAATATCAGATCTGTGTCACATTAAGGCAAAAAACCTGGATTTGTGTCTCTTCAGCCTGGTAATGTGAACATAGCCAAAGTAACCCTCCCAAACCTGATAGGGTCAGGAACCAATAAGAGAAATGTGGGCCGATGCCATTATCCACTATTTTTCATGTTCGGTGCTCAAGATTAATCTTGGGACACTCTGTAAATACAACTGATGTCTTGTTTATTAATTATTTTGCAAACTAATATTAAGCATTTATTCATTTGTACCCATCAAGAAAACGATAACACCCAGCAATAACAGCAATGTTTACTACCTGAAACTCAAAATAATTAACAGAAATCTTCAGTAGGGCGGAAAAAAGTCTTCTAGGCATGGAGTGCATGAGTTTGAAGCTCTGCAAGGCTTGTTGGATGTTCTCTTTTGAATGGCCAGAGTTTGGCAGGCGTTGAACAACTCTGGTCTCTGTCCATGATTTTAGTACATTTTTCACAGTATATATATATATATATATATATATATATATATATATGGATTTATATATATATATATATATATATATATAATAATATCTTACAGATATTTTGTAACTAAAATTACTGAACAGATTCGTTCTGCTCTGTGTAAAGCAATATCTTTCAGAATAAAATTTGGAGTCAGTTGTGTTGAATGGTACATTGGATATCTCTGGTTTGCATTTAGATTAGTATTCCAAAATTTGTTTTGAAGGCGTTAAGTGAAAGATCTTCCGTTTGCTATTGTGTAGTACAATACTTAATACTTAACAATAAAATAAGTTTAAAAAATAATAATGAAAGAAGCATCCCAAGACTACTTTTGAGCACTGTACGTACACTACATGGACACCTACACATTACACCCACAGGAGATTTTATGACAACCCATTCTTAATCCATAGGCATTAATATGGAGCTGTTCCCCCCACTGCAGCTATAACAACTTCCCTTCTTCTGGGAAGCTTTCTACAAGATTTTGGAGTGTGTCTGTGGGAATCTTTGCCCATTCATCCAGAACAGCATTTGTGAGGTCAGACATTGATGTTGGATGAGAGGGCCTGGCTCACAGTCTCTGTGTGGGCCAGTCCTGTTCTTCCACACCAAACTCACCCAACCATGCCTTTATGGACCTTGCTTTGTGCACTGGGCTCAGTCATGCTGGAACAGGCAAAGGCTCTTCCCCAAACTGTTCCTACAAAGTTGGAAGAATACAATTGTCCAAAATGTCTCTGTATGCTGAAGCATTAAGATTTCTCTTCACTGGAACTAAGGGTTCTAGGCCAACCCCTAAAAAACAGCCCCATAGCATTATCCCTCCTCCACCAAACTTTACAGTTGGCACAATGCAGTCAGGCAGGTAATGTTCTCCTGGCATTCCCCAAACCCAGATTTGTCCATCAGTCTGCCAGATAGAGGAGCATGATTTGTCGCTCCCTAGAATGCGTTTACACTGCTCCAGAGTCCAGTTTACACCACACAGCCCCACTCCCGACCCATTCAGCATTGTACACTTTGATCTTAGGCTTGTATGTAGCTGCACAATAATTAGGACTGTCCCAATACTTTTGTCTACATAGTGTATCTGCCAACACTGATACCAACGTCAATACACAACCCTTTATAAAACGTAGGAATCGGAATTTCATCTACCTGGATTAGCATTATGAAAGAAGACAACATCTAATTTTGTAGGTTACAAATGCAGTAAAATGAATAAAATGCAGACATTTTAGCGCACCAGCCCAGCGACACCTAAACACCTACCCTTCCACAATAACGGAATACTGAAATATTAAATCTATTATTTGTTGATAATGTCTATTATCTGCTGATCTGCTGATCTCCTGAAAATTCTGATAATAAAATTGTAACGTTTCTGTATGCGGTCAGTTAAAATGGTTATTATTATGTGAATTGTTCTGTCTTTTGCAGGTGTTGGCTGCTATCAACCCAAAACAGATGAGCATATCATCCTGAAGTACACCACTTGGTCCAAAGACTCTCACTAATGGCTCAATCATATGAGATGTTCAAATCAATACACTTCCCCAGCAAACACAATCGTTTGGTTATTTCTGCTGTTTCTCTAAAACAGATGTAAGATGTCCAAGAGACTAAATAAAGAGCAATCTTCACCACCTGATGTAGTATTTCATGACAAAAAATCAAGTCACTGGCCTTTTTATTACAAACACATTTACCTTGTAGGTACACCTTGCTGTAGATGTAGTGACCATAGCTCATTTGTTGATGCATAATCTGTGCCCCTCATCAGTGGTCAGTTTCTGATAAACACATAGTAACTGTAAACCTACAAAGTGGACCTGAATAGCAACTGCGTACAGGTACATGGTAGGTGTTTCTAATAAACTAGCAGCTCACTATATAATGAAAAACTGGAGTAACATACAGTACACATTTACAACACTGAGACACCTGTGTTGGGTGGGTAACAAGATTAGGTGTTCAGTTCCATGCTGAGCTCAGACTAGAGCTGATTGTCCAGGTCAGTAACTTTAATCCCTGCTGAAACGTGAATACAGAGGAGGAGCCTTCTCCTAACACCAGCCTGAAATACAGGCTGAAAATAGCTGGATTTGGTCAGTGACAAACCAAAAGTTCTGGGTTCCCATGTACAGTCACAGTTGAATTAAACACCCTTCATGTTTTAGTAAATAAGTCCAGTCTTTTGTGGTCCATTTTTTTGTGGTGTCTGTAGGACAAAGTGTCTTGAAATGAAATTTCTTGTGTAAATAACCTTCTTGACTTGTGACCATCCAAATATCCCTTAACTTTCGATCATCCATACAAATTAATACTGGAAAGAGTTGCATTTCAGTACTTTGTGTGGCTGTGATTATCACTCGTGGGACGGAGTCCATGTAAAAGTGGAGAAGAAGAGGCAAAATCCTCTACCCTGCTGACGCTGAAACAGAAAATGAAGCATTTCAATTAGATGTTTTCATTTGATCAGACAGATCTCTTGAAGGCATCCTCAGACTTGTTGGTAGAAAATCAATGTTTTGTGACTTAGGGTCCCAGGAAGTAAAATATTAAATGTATTTCTATGATAACTAAAACTGAGTGTTACATAAAACATCCATTAATGTTTCAAGATAGAAATGTGATAAAACATGCCCTACAAACAGACAAATGAACAGATGAGTGTCAGAAAGACAGACAGTCATTTGCTTTGGCTTGAGTGTAAGCTTTTGTTTGGTTCTTAGCTTTTTCTGACTTGCAGAGGGACACAGTTTTGTTAAAGCTGTGTGAGTGGGACAACCTTCTTGTGAGGGTTAGGACTGCCCAGTTTACACTTAAAGGGGTGATTTTTTTTTGGCAGAATACATTGGCCATAGTGGACCCTGGCAAGTTCTTTACAGGACATACTTTGTACATTCTGTGTACCCCAACTGGCCACTTCATTAAGTACATCTCCTTGTATCTATGCTTACTGTCCATTTTATCAGCTCCGCTTATCATACAGGTGCACTTTGTAGTTCTATAATTACAGACTGTAGTCCATCTGTTTCTCTACATACTTTGTTAGCCCCCTCTTCTTTAATGGTCAGGACCCCCACAAGACCACCACAGAGAAGGTATTATTTGGGTGGTGGTATCATTCTCAGTCTTGCATTGACACTAACGTGGTGGTGGTGTGTTAGTCTGTGTTGTGCTGGTACGAGTGGATCAGACAGGAGTTTTTGAACACCTCAGTGTCAGTGTTGGACTGAGAATAGTCCACCAACCAAAAATATCCAGCCAACAGCATCCTGTGACCACTGATGAAGGACTAGAGGATGACCAAAAAAATTAAATGCATACAATTTTGTCATACCCCAAATGTGGTCAATCAGCCAAGACTTGTTTAGTGTCCAAAACTTGCTTCCTTAGTCTGGGACTAGAGCTAACAGTGTATGAACAGTATTCAGACTTCAACATTCAACAGTATTCAACTTCAACAACTACTAATGTTTTTAGCTATGTGATGTACTTCTGTCCATTTTTATAGATACCAGTATGTCGTACAGACTCAGAAATCACTTACACAAGGTCTATTCGAGATTACCAGATTACACTCAAAGCAGTTTTAGGCAAGTGATGATTTGCATGCTGTTTGCATGACAATAATTCGTTGGCTATAAGCTACTTCTCATCTACAATAGCCTTGTAGCTCTGAGGCAAAACTAATGAAGAAAAAATATTAGACACCAAACATGTCTTGGCTGATTGTTTTTTGGCGTCATCCACTGAACTTTCGCTTTAAATAAGTCATGTAGAGTCTCACCACAGGGGATGAAGCAGTCACACTCGCAAGAGGCACAGCGTGAAAACCAGCGTTGCCAGCCTGCCTCTTTGGTCCTGCAGTTGTTGATGAGGTTGCAGCCATGGCTCAGGGAACCAGAACCTGTATAGCTAATTGATGGGCAGGTGGAGGTGCATGCACCATCAATTTCCTTCTGACCGACCTCAACCTGACCCCGCTGACACACTCCTGACAGAGAGAGAGAGAGAGAGAGAGAGAGATCTGGGATACAAATTTTTTGGAAATATTATAATAATAATAATCTTTGTCATTTTATTAACTTGTATATACACTTTGTAACTAATTTGGTCCATATTCATTTTATATACACAGTAAGAAATTGTTCAGTGTAGATTTCAATATTTTAAACTGTCCATCAAAAGTAGCTTTAGATGAGTTATTTAATATTTGTATTTTTTGCATCTGTATTTAAGGTATGAAAAGAAGTTGTTAAATGATACGTAATTATTCTGTGACCATTTGGGCTTATGCACCCACCCTTTTGAGCTGTCTTACATTCATATTTAAGATCTACCCTCAGATTTTCAATGATGTTCAAGTCAGGGGACTATGAGGGTGCTTCCAAACACTTTGGATCATTGTCCAGTTGTTGCAGAAGCCAGCCATTTTCAGCTTCAGTTTCTTGACTGTGCCACACTTGCTGAGGTTGTGAAATTTGAGTATTACTTTGTTAGATGGCTGATGCAGGCAAACCAATAGCAATAGTAATAAGAGCTCTGTACAGTCGAGACATCTTAACACTTATGAGAAAAACCTGGCATATCTGGACTGTCAGGGGGTCTGCAAGTGAAGATCCGAAGGGTGCAGAACTCACTGAGGCAGGATGGCTTCGGGGTCCATTTCCCATTGGATTGGCAGGCCCGTGCTGGGTCCCCCACTAACACAAAGCCTGGCCTGCACTCGTATCGCACCACGGAGCCCACCCACCAGTCATTACCATACACCATCCCATTAAAGTCCACATCAGGAGGGCCACAGTTAACTAGTGCAGAGCACAAGAGGGTGAAGGACAAAAATATAATGAGTAAAAGAACACAGCATGAGTATTAACAGTACATACATTCAGCACATTTCTTTGAAATGATAAGAAACTATCTTGGTAATGCTGTGGTTACAGAGATTATAACACATCATTTAGGAATTGAGAGTCTGTACAGTGTCTACATACAACAGGGCTATATGTACTTGTAGTGTATGTATTTGTATGTTAGTATGTAAGTACTTAGGCCCTGTTTCAATACTTTTAATATGCCCTTGACCATTTTGTCTCACCACTCGGATGTGCATTCCACCTATATTACACAAGTGACCACTGAAAGAAGGAGAGGATGGCACAGTAAGGAGCGGATTATTTAAACAGAAGACACTTGTCTTCGGCAGGTTAGCCTTGGTGAGCTAATCGGCTAGCCATGCAAACTTTGCTATTCATCTCTTATTTTGATAAGTTCAAGTTTAAACATACATAAAAACTGTAAACTTTGTGTAGAAGCAGGGTGTATTGTTGTTGTTAGTAGCCATGCAGCTTTTAGGATGTTAACTAGCCAGCCAGCCAAGTAAAGTGATGAGGTCGTGTCAGCAGTCATGTATAACAGATGGAGTCCGTCAAGTCGAATGTTACGGTTTAGAAAAGTTTTTTAAAGTAGTTTACTGTTTTAGACATAAAACAGCTTCATCTGCCATTTTTTTTATTATTTTTTAAAAAATAAATGCTTTAGGTCGCAATGACTTTTGGACAACTTGCGTTTACTCAAACCCTTGCCCCTCTGGGGGTTTGAGCTAATAAAGTAATGGAACAATCCTTGGAGTCAGGGATTTCCCAAGGAGGCAAATGATGAGGCCAAGTGGACGAGGGCTTGTAATGAAATGGGCAGCTCAGGTTGCAAAATGGAGCAATGGATCAGACAGAGGACGTGCACCCCACTGTTATTAGAGAAGAGAGTAAACACGCGTTTACTCACATACTCTTTTTAAATGAAAATTTGACCTCCAGTAGAAAGAGCTGCGTGAGCACAAGTTTACAAGTTTCACTTTTAAGTTTATATTTTTCATGTAATTTGTTCAAATATCTCACATTTTGCTGAGATGTTTAAGCAGAAACGATGCAGTATAGCTTATAGACTTGGAAGACCATTCCCACCAGCTAGAGAAAAAAAATATATATTTTTTTTTCCCCTCTCTGTTTCTGACAGCATTATGCCTTTTCATCTCAAAACAATGACTTCATTGTCAATAGCTAATTGTAGAGAAACTTATAGACTCTGATGGTGACAGGAACCAGGAGTCGCAGTGTGTACAACACAAATTTTTATAGCCATTTTATTTGCTATTCAAAACAAGCATTGAATCTTCATGTGGACCAGTCCATTCTGGTCTAAGGCATACGAATAACGGTAATACATACCCCTGCAGAGGGACTTGTAGCCCACCCAGCAGCAGTTCGAGTCCCCACAGCTGTCCTTCTTCAGCTCCCTGTGACGCCCCCTGCAGCCTCCGAAACACAGTGGCGCCGTCCCAGACCAGTACGTGTCTGCCAGCTCCTCCTCCTGCTCCACCTCCAGCAGACCTAACCCACATTATTAATCTCCATAAAAGAAACTCAGACAACTAAACAACGAGTATTATCATTAAAAGGTAACTGGTTCTAATATGGACATACAATATATAGACGTATTTTATTAATAACAGTGTTATTTCACTCTCCCCCATTTTCTCTCAAAAGGGACTATCCCTCTATCTATTCGCTGTATGTGATATAGTGATATACTGACACCTAATAAGAGCAGCAACTCCCTCTGGTGTCTTACTGCTTAATTATTTTCCAGTCACACATGAGTATTTTTGAATATAGATTTCCCAAGAACTTTTTAAAAATAATGTGAGACTTCCGGGTGCTGTTAATAGGTTCTCTTGTATCTGGTTTCTACTCTATATTCATTGTAACTGGAATACATTCTGCCCTCATTAGAGTGAATATTTTTGGCAGATAGCTAAAGGTTAACAGGCTCATTCAATAATATTCATAGTAGAACAGCAGTAGGAAAATTCTATTGGTTCCAGTTTGGACCAGCTTACTTATACCAGTAGAACTGTTTTTACCTGGAAAACTGGAACCCTGGACATTGGAACTACTGGTGCCTACTGGTGTGGAATATCCAGTAGAAACCAGCTGGAAAATCCAGCTGAATTCATTAAAATATATTAGCAACCATTAGCAACAAGCTCATTCTAGAAGAGTTGCTCAACTGGAGTTTCCCCCAGGGTTTTGTCTTTACTAGAGTTACTGAAAACTACAATAAAACTGCAATACAAACTTTTTTTTTTTTATATCAGAATATGTAATGAATGCCACTTACAACTTTCTAACAAATTATGCTAGCAGTGGTAATTGTATAAAAAAAGGCTATTAACACAGCAAATAGTGAAGTTTCTGCAATAAATATTGGTATTTATTGACTAGCAATGACTATTTAATGATTTTATAACTGACATTTTCTGGTTCCCAGAGTAAAGAGAATTAAATAAAACTCCAAGGTCTTTGTTAGCAGCTGCAAAGAAGATGCATCAGCAAGTAGTTCAAATCAGCCTATATTTTCTTATCTTTTCCACTAATCAAAAAATATATTATTTAAGGTGTAAAACAAAAAGAATTAGTTGCCAATGAGCAGTTTTGCAGGGCTCTAAACACAAAAAACATAAGAGGCCTTCTGCAAAATAAAAGTAACTGGAATTTTTTTTTTAAATATGCTGTTTCAATGCTGCAACGTTGGTTGGCTAAAACTTTATAAGACCAGTTTAATCTTGGATCTGTATTGTATGAAGTAATAGTTTTTCAAATTTGCGTTATACAGTCACATCTCTCAGCTGTTTATTCAGCAGCTTCCCACTGGCTTCTATTATAAGTGCACCTTGAGTTGAGAAGTTTTCAGTTCTTTTCTTTTCAGATCTTTCTGTCAAAATGATTGTCCATGACAATCCACAGCATGATATAAACGCCACAGACAGAGATTAGGCTGGAAAAGTGCTGTAATATGTTATAACGGTCATCAAAAGAATAATTTGTCTTACCACTTCCTTGGTCTTCTTCCGTTGTTGTTATTTCAGTCACTGCTGTTGGTGTTATTTCAGGCACCTGAGTGTTCATCCCATATGAGAACCCCAGAAACAGCCAAAGAAGTGCTCTAAACCTCATCTTCAGAAAAGGGGCGAATCGGCACAAAAGAGAAACCTCCACTTTCCCTTCAGCACGTTCCTCTCACCGTAATCTTCCTTTTTGAGCTCCTTCTTTAGTCCATTCTCTGAAATCTATGTAAAAAACCTTCCAATCACCACCTAAACGTGGCAGTACATTGACCAGAAAACCATACAGTGGACAAGCCATAAACAGCTTATGATGGTTTACGCTAATGGTTGCAACCTGCTGAGCAAGAGCGAGAGTGAGAGAGGCTAAGCTGCTAAGCTGTGTGAGTGGACTAATCTTTATCAAACTGCACGCTACAAAGATCAGATACCATGTTGGAGGTGGACGCTGGACAATACTGTATTTGTATATGCTGTTCAAATCCAGGCATTGCCATAACTGTGAAAGAAACCACATAACCTCATCCATATAACCTCTAAGCAGCCATGACTAATAAACAGTGTCTCTCACAACCAGGACAGCTAAAGGACATAGAGGATTATCCGCCGCATGAGCCTTCATCACAATCTCTTTTCTCACTTTCATTCAAGCTTCAAATCATTCCTAAAGACACAGACTTTCACGCTCAGCCTAACATTTTCCTCAGTTTTTCTCTTTTATGGCTGTGCCTGAAATGTAGCTAATGCTGCCTATTCGGACAGTATTCCGAGGCAGGAAGGCACCCAGTCATGTCCGAAGTCAAAGTCTGTATAAAAACCTACTGACTGTTTTTTGAAGGTATCTTTCGCAGCCTTACATATCCCATAATCCAGTGTGTAAAATTATACTAATCTTAGTTTAACACCTAATATGTTCTTTTAGTACAAGGACATTTTAAAAGTAGCCCATAGCAGTTCTGTATGTGCTGCCACTGTCTGTTTGCTAATGTAAGCTAACTTAGGCTAAGGTAACAAGCAAATGCTGAGCGCTCTGCGTCCATGACAGCCCAAGCAAGAAAAGATCATTAGAAATAATCTGTATTATATTTATTTTAATGGAATTTTATTTTTAGTTAATTCATTTATACCTATGAATGGCTTTTTTTTTTAAGTGGACAAATATTTTAAATACATTTTTCCATTTTTTTTTTTTTACAAAAAAATAGCCAATGGCCATACAGTTTAAACACGCTCATTAGATCATTAAAATTTTACTAAAAGGTAACCACTGTTACCACTTGTTACCAGTTGTGTTAGTTTGTTTAATTGGGCCTTAATGAGCAATAAATTTGATGCAACCTTCCCTGGTTTTAGTTAAACAGCATATTGAGCATATTATGGATATCATCTGTACCCAAAGAACACTGACCAACTGCATGTTCCATTAAAAAGAGAATATAATCAGTCCTGTTTAATCGGATTTAGTGCAATGCGTGAAATATTTTATTATTTAAATGTTAATTAAAAATCACTAATGTGGCAATACTGGATCATCATGCCTGTATATCAAAATATTATGATGCGTATCGTGTTGTGAAAACGCCTTTAAGTATTGTGATATTTTCAACCCAACTCAAGCCATTTCTCTATTTTGTTCATTTCCAGATATTTCCAATTTGTTAGTTGCTCTGCCATCACAGCTGCTGACCAAAAAACAACAAGCTCAGAATTTGACGTAGTCCTGCTCCCAGTCTTCTTTAAATCCTGACCAAACTGTCTGCAGCTCAAATGTTTTTTAAACAAGTTATGTGTGTGCATTTGCTATTTTTGTATGTGCCAAGGCAAAAAAAAAATCACTTAGAGTTAACTGCAACGTAAAATTAGGTGTTCCTTAGCAACTGGTGCTTAGCAGAATGATAATTATTTTATATAAAACAAAATGCGGTTTTCACATATATCAGCAGGGTAGAATAGTTCTCAATCAATCAGACTGGTCTTGTAGCCTGTCAATCTTCCAAGGTCAACTGACTGATGCAATAATAATTGGGTGAGTAAACTTTTGTGGTGTTCAAGTGGAAGAATTATAGCAAAGATACACTGATATGGAACTGTGGACTGACGTTGATCAACAGCAACAAGTAAAAAAAATGTGAAGAAAAATGAAAAAAGCGATGAACCCAAGTCAACGAAACCACTAAGAATGCTGGGTATCTTGGCCTTAGGTTGGCTAGTTTTTTTTAGGTTTCTACTGTTTATTTGTATGTAAGACAACTGACAACCGGGTGACAGCTGACTCTTTGATTGAACTATTTGATGTTTGTCATCTAAAATTTGCTCCATACTATAAGTTAACAGAAATTTTAGCTTCTTTAAGTCAATATCAATAACAGTTTGATTATTTTTATACCGAACAACAATGCAAAAGCTTCCTTCTTTATTTATTACCATAATTTATTTAATTTCAATTTCATCAAACCAGCACCGATTTGTAATATTACACTTTATTATTCCACTTGGACCAGAATGTGTGCTATGTTTTAATTTCAGCACTAGAAATATTATCAGTGGCTGCTGGAGTGACCCACAACTGCTGTAATGCACATATCAGTGAACTATTTCAGAATGTTACTAAAAAAAAAAAAAACCTTGATATTATTCAGTTTTTTTAAGTGTAGAAAAACATGGTCCACTGTAGTAGCATGTAGGCTAAGCCAAGACCCAGGTAATGTAAACAAGCCTAATAAGACCCAAAGGCATGAAGCAGAAGATTTTTGCACAGAAGTCAGAAGAGCATTATGCAATAAACACGCCAAATCAAAAAAACAGAATTATCTTAAAGGGGAATTCCACTGAAAATTTCTGCATAGTCAATCTTTAAGATGTAAACAAAGTCAGAACTTTTCACAGTTGATGGTGATGAGATCCAGACATCTGAAGTGACTGGTGCTTCTAAAATCTACATCACATGAAAGTTGTGAATACACTGCAAGATGAGATAATGTTTTACGACAGATTTGGCCTGTTTTTGCAAATACACCCACGGGGGAAAGCTACACACAGGGCATTGTGAGGCAAGATAGTATCTAAATTTTATCATAATCAAAATTACATATAGAAACTCAGAGGACATGTGTAGGTTTACTGGTCATTTTGGATACTAAATAAAATGGCTATATTTATTCTGCAGACAGTGTAACCCCTGTTTCATTTCACTAACATTGTCAGTGAGTTTCACTACAATGCACTTTCACATCAAAACACTCTGAATGACTGTCAACATATCAACGATTGAGCAGTGCAGAAATTCAGAAAAATCTTAGGAAATTACCCATTAAGATGAAACATATAGAGTATATGATGTTAAAGGGCCAACTATCGTAAGAAAACATTCTGTCATAAGAAAACCTTTGTTTTGTTTCCCTCCCCCACTGTGTGAACATTCTATGACAGACCGAAAGAAATTCTGAAAAGCAAACTTTTCAAGCTTAAGTTACATAAACAGATATTAAAAGGTTTTCTTATGACACCGACATTATTTAACATGGTATTTTGATGGTGTTTTTGAAGCAGACAGTAAACTTATCGTAATTCAAGTAAAAAGAAAAATCAATAAATAAAAGCAAGGGTATTTATAACATATTTTAAGTTCTTCAGTAGCAACTTCCCATTAATATCCCTTTAGCAAGCAAAACAAAACGTTGTAAAAAACTGTACAATGTGCTAAACCTCTTGCAGAATGTTACGTTCTCCTTCCGGCCTAGAAATCAAGCTTGTTCAGTAGAACCTCTCTCTCCTTTACATTCACTCACTCATACACTTACACACATACACCCTCACTTCATTCTCAAAAACATTCTTGATATAGGCTTAGTCCACACCATCTCCACTCTATAAGTGCATAAGAGGCAACACGACCACAGTAGAGTACCTCTGGTCTTGAGTGGGTCCCCTATTTCAAAAGACACAAAAGCACATTGGCTTTCAAAAACTGTACGTGTTTTGGGACGGAACATTAAACCACCTCCATGCCTAGCTGCTGGGCAGTGTCCTGCAGTTGTCGCATGACTGACTCCTCCCTTGTTGCCTCCGTCTCTGAGGGAGCTCTGCTTGTGAGCATGAGCGGCATGTTTTCTACATGCACCTCCTGCGTTCCGCAGTCTCTCCTTCCCTCCTCTCTCATCTCCATTTCAGAGCGTCTGTCTGCACTGCTAACTTCCTCCGAATCTTCCCCAGGCTGGAGGCCCTGCGTTTGGGGAACGGACTCACTGCTGTGTCCCTCGCCCTGCCGCTCCCGCATCAGCTGCTCTGTCAGCTCCACGCTCTCATAGCGGATCAGTTGCAGCCTCATAAAGCCGTCCTCATGCTCTTTATACCTGAAGGCCAGACAGGCAGATGGAAAGTTTCAAAGACAGACAGATTCAGCTGACTTATCCATGCACCCTGCTCAAGTTTTGGTCTTTTGTAGTTACTATTACGAGGTTGGACCAGCTTTAGGGCCCTGACACACCAAGCTGACTTTTGGTCATAGGATGCCATCAGGTACTTGGTGAGCGTTGGTGGCCAAAACATAAGTCTTTCTTGGTAAGAGTGATTGCAATACACAGTAAATATACAATACAGTAAATTAAACTAGGATGGGAAAGTTCATGAACAAACTTTAAGTTGGCTTGACAAAGATGTTTTTATGCTGTCCAAGTTGGTAGCTAAGGTGGTGCTAGACTGTTGCTATGGTATCCCAGATGGTTGCTAATATGTGTATATCTAAAGAAAACCCTATATGCTGTCAGTCGCCAAAGACACAAGCACACTATTCCTATACAGGCTCAACGATTCAGCAAAATTTTGTATTTCTAGCTTGAAAACTGTGAGCCCTGAAAATATTACAAAAAGCATAGAATAAATAAAGAACAGTTAGTTGGCTTTGTCAAATACTTTTGTCTCTTTGAGCCCCTACCCCCCAAAATGTCTGTGCATGGGCCTGCTACAGTAGGTAGTGGTGTAGGCTACATTGTTCACTTCTCTAGCAAGCAAGATTAAAACAGCAGAAGTCAGTGAACTTCATGCTGAGATTTTTATTCCTTAATTACAAGACATGTAATAATTTGAAACAGTGCATTCTTTGACAAAACGCTGAGTTTTGCTTGTCAATGTTCTGTAAAGCCTGCCTGCAACAACAGTTAAAGAATGCATTTTGCGCAAAGCATGGATATTAACTTAAAAAATTAGCAAGCTGGCAGATATTAAATATAGGAACACACTAAGCAAAAAAAGTGAAAACAAAATATATACCTGAACCTGGGATGCCCTGAAGGCCATTTGAACTGGTGCTTCTTGCGTAGATGCGCAGTGAGGTTATTCCCTCTGGTGAAGCACTGCTCACACACATGGCACTTATAACGAGGAGTGTAATCTCCCTAAACGCATATCACAAGTTAGCACATGGTTTTATAATGTGATTTGATTATTTTCTGTTTATTTGTTGTGGTGATATGGAATGTAAGCATTTGTAGTAGTAATGTGATTAGTTCACTGCTGCAGTGTTTTGCAGTGCTATTGTGTTCATTGTGCATGTTGTTATTTAACTGGTTGACGTTTCATCTGTTTTGGTCGGTTAACCATTCGGCTCACCTCGTGTATACGTTTGTAGTGGCTTTTGATGGAGTGCAGGGAGCGGGTGGAGTATTCACAGTCAGAAAAGTCACATCGATAGGCCGGCTCACTGCTGTGTGTTTCCAGATGCTTCCGCAGATCTATGAGATTCTTACAGCTAAAACCACAAAGATACACAAATCTGTAACCGATGCTTGAATGAATGAATGAACGAATGAATAAATAAATAAATAAATAAATAAACAAATAAAAGAGAGAGAGATTTTGTAATGAGAACATCTGGGGACAACCCTGAGAAATTTGTGCTTAAATGTGGCTGGGAACAACAATTTTTTAAACAAATTCAACGCCTCGTTGACGGCGGAGCTGAAGCAGCGGACAACAGTGTGCTCATCACTGATCACTGTAGATCACCTTATTATCTCAAAATCACCCAAAAATCTGACTTGAGTGCGTTTACATGCATCCGATAACTGTAACCGTCAGTAATCCATTTATATTTACACGCAATTGAGTAATCAGACAATAGGGAAGCTCTTGTTCTACATGAGTCAGGCAGTAATTGGATTTCTGCTTTGCAACCAGCCAATAAACTCACAACAGAAGTTGTGATGTAAACGTAACGTAAAACCTCAAACCTACATTGCGCCACTTTACCTAAAACTATGAACATACATCATCTAGAAGATGAAGAATATTTAATTCTTCCATTTTGTCAAGCATGTAATTGGTTTCAGTGTCGCTCCAAAAGTGTTTTGCTGCCATCTTGTGGCAAAGCTGCTTGCTTATTTCCAGTACCGCCGTCTGTTTTCGCACATGCACAGACTGAGAAGTCCGAAAGAAATCTGGGTAAGGGTTTACATGCACTGAAAAATCTTATTACTGAGCTAAAATCTAGCTGTCTTTATCAGATTTCTACACCTTACCCTGATCTAAGAAATTGGAGTATGCTGTATACATGACCATTTGAATGATCAGATAACTGCAGAAATCCGACTATGATCGGATTATTGAGTGCATGTAAATGCACTCAGTATTTTAGCCTATTTCAAACTGATACAAATGCAAAAATCTGAAACAGTTACTTGCTGGTGTGAAGCACAACAGAAATAAAATAAGTCCTCCTGCAATTTTATTTTGACATGCTGCTGCTCTTTGCAGAAAAATACATGCCGCAATTCATGTTTCATCTCCTTAAACAACAAAACATTGCCTGTAATGTGATAATTCATAATAATTAGCTGTATATAGAGCATTCAGTTCTATTAATAAAAAGATATAGTAAGAATTTGATGTGTGTCACGTGTAAAAACACTTCAGCTGAAATCTATCCAGTTTATCGGATCGGTGCATCACTACTGAAAAGCCCCCCAAAAACACTATCAAAATATAAATGTGTTGCATGTCATGCGGGGAAAAAAAATACATTTTACCTTCTTGCAAGGAAAAAGAGTTCAGTTAGCTAAAACAGCGATCTGCTAGCTAGCTTACTGTGCTTGTGTAATCGTTTGTACTCCTGATGTTAAAAAAGCACGAAAAATTTGGGGTGGGTTTTAGAGCAGGCGTACCCTTGTTAGCGGTGCATTCAACCACAACATTTTTCAGCATCACAAATTTAACAAATTGTCCCAGATGTGTCCTCTCGTTACGAGACCACGTCTCATAAGACTATCACTGTACCTGTACTCGCAGTAGTCACAGCTGTAGGGTTTCTCGTTGCTGTGGCGGAACTTGATGTGGTTCCTTAGCGAGGATGGCGAGGGGCATGTCATATCGCACAACGGACATTTGTAATGGTTCACTATGCACAAAAAGAACACGGAGCTTGTAGAACATTCTAGCAAAACTAATGATGCATTAGTTGATGAATTTTCTTTTAGCGGACATGAATATATGATGTGCTTATTATGAAATGGACTGGCCTAGTACCATATCAGCAGCTCAAAGCAAATACTACCATTACTATTCACTGAATCACACATTTATTTTCCAACTCATTAATTAATTGAGGTCTCATGCACATATATATCATTTAAGGCAATGGTGTCTAATCTTGTCCACAAAGGGCCGGTATGGCTGCAGGTTTTCATTCTAACAGAGCAAGAGTACACATGGCCAAGTAATTGTTTGGAATGAAAACCTGCAGACACACTGGCCCTCTGTAGATAAGATTGGACACCCCTGATTTAAGGACTGATTGGAGAGATTTCTAAATAGACATGAACCTTGCATTGATGTTTTAAATGACTTTTAAAAAAGTTTGACAACAGGGCGGCTTTGTTAGAAAACCACATTTGTTTTGTGAATTTACAAAACATTAATAATAGCTGTCCAGGTAACTGCATGCTTGTTTGGTTCACTAGCTGAGAGAAGACGCTCTTACCGTGATTCCTCATGTGGTCCCTCAGTAGCCTCTCTGTGGCAAAGCGCTTTGAGCAGTGAGAGCACTGAAACCTTTGACCTATAAACAGACCAGCAAGCAAAGAATTAAGATGAGAGGCAGCAGTCAAAAATAGGAAGAAAGTCTGACAGTGGGCATGAAGGTCAGTGAATACAGAAAGAAACAGACACAGCATAAAAGAGACAAAAAGAGAGAAAGGAAGAAAGAAGAAAGAAAGAAAGAAAGAGGGAGAGTCAATACAGGAAAGAAAGAAAGAAAGAGAATAAACAATTACGATGTAGAGAAAGAGAGACAGATATAGTGGAAGAAAAAACAAAGAAAAAGAAAGAAAAAGAATGAAAAAAGAAATTAAGCAATAAAGATGTAGGGAAAAGGGGAAGGGGAAGGGGAGGAAGGGGTGACAGTGAGAGAGGGAGAGACAGCAGGAGAGAGAAAAAGGGAGACAGGCAGAAAGAGAAAGAAAGACAGGAGATTAGGCAATTAAGATGTACAAGCCAATAAACAGCATGCAAAAGCTAATTACGCCACTACTTCTGTTGCCATTTCACGCATATTATATGCTCCAAGTCGAGCCACCCCACTGCTCCTCACCTTCAATGGAGGTCTGCCGTCGGATATGGTCAAAAAATTTGGTGTTGTTGGCAAACATTCCTCCGCAGGTTGGACACGCCACCAGTTTCTCCTGAGTGTGACTGCGCATGTGTTCCCGTAACTTAAACCGGCCTTTAAACGACGCCTCACAATCTAATGGATAAAAGAAACAGGAGTTTTACACTGAGGTGGGCTGTTTTTGGACATTTGGGAGCCCTAAGCAACTAGGCAACCACAACCCTCCCACCCAAAAGTACATCACTATCTATCCAAAAATAAAGAGAATTTATAATATTTCAGTCATTTCTGTAATTTCTATATGGATTGTTCTACCAAACTGGTTCAAAGTCAGAGACTTTTAACTGACTTGGAATTTAGACTAAAATCCCTCTGGTTTGAATGAACACATACCTTAATTATGTTTAGTATATTAAAACAAATAAGTGAACATTCCATTTTGTCGCTAACAAAACAATCATAACGTTGTGTAGTGACTGTAAGCACTACAGTGTTGACAATTTTAGTTCATTTTGAGCAGAACTCAAAAACACTAGCCAGTACATGACTAGCAAACAGCTTTGAACAGTTGTGCACACATAAAATCATTATATTTTTCATTAAACAAAAATATTTACTTATTTGCAGAAAATATGTTTTGGCAGTGATAAATCATAATGTTACACACTGATTTTCAGATTTTGGGACACATTTACTTCAAAACAATGAGATCTAACTACTCAACATGTGGCTATGAGGGACAGGGATACAGTCCCACTTCCTGCTCTAAAATGCAAGGGTGTGGCTAAAATAAGGCTCCACCTATGGACTAAATTTTTGTGTGTTTTGGTAGTGACACGAAAACATGATTAAAAAGTTTTATTTAAAACTTAAACTCCTGTTAAATCTAAATCTTTCAACTTCACTTGAAAAAAATTAAAAAGACATTTCTAAATAAATAAGTGCATATATTTAGCATATTACTATCTCAGTTAATGCCTTGGGTGTAAATAAATCAATAGGCCTGAACACTTCATTGTAAGAACAATTTTTTTTTTACAGTGGGCAGCAGCTTGGACTTTTTTGGCAGAATAGTCTTTATAAACAGACATGTAAGTAATTAAAAAGAACTAAAGATAAAATAAAATCAATTATATATAATGCATCCTTGAATGACTTTCTGGAAGTGAAAAAAAAAATTGTTGACATTACAATTGAACTATATAATACATATAGGGCCCCTCATGGCTCAGGGTCCCCAAGTGACTGCTTATACTGCTTGTAGTAAGCAGCAGCCCTTCAACTGAGACTTAAGGGGCAAGTTTCTCAGGCTCACACGATCAGAAAAAAGATACAAAGATTAATGGGTATGTATTTTTTTTAGCTATGATTAATTACTTTTATCATTCATAATAAGTTATGATTTCTTAGACTGCATTAACACGTGTTAGAACACTTGTGGGAATGTGAGAGACTTCATTACGATACTTTAATACAGATCTCAAATCACTAAACAAAATGCATGAACTATTTAATTTTGGGATGAACTTTCAAGTCCTAGGTTACTATAATTGATCAACATAAATCGAACGACCTTATGTCAGTCCACAACGTTAAAAACGTGATTAATGGTTATGCACCTTTCCAGCCGCAGGACAGTACGCTCTCCTCATTGGCTTCCAGACAGTGTGCATGCATCTCCACATGCCTGTAGAACCACTCTGGGTTGTCCATGTTTGTCTGTGAAAAACATGAGACAACATGCAGTTCACTCATACAGCAATGTTTTTAGACTTGTTAAACGAGTACCTGCACCAATCTTGTCTTTCTAGACACACAAACTGTATCCCATTTGAGCTGCCAGCAACTCCAGATTTCAATTCATCCCTCTTAACAATTACTGATTTGGGATTTTTACTAAACAATAAGTTTGAGGGTGCAGACGTTCATGACCTTTAAGGAGTTAATACCAATTTCGCGAGAAAAACGCCACTCTAGGCCTCCTCGAAGTTCTAGATATGTCACTGACTATGAATACGAGCAGCAGTCTAATCAGTGGGTTGTTAGGAACAGAAAACAGCAGAGCCAGCTCTATACCAGAGCTCCTTACTGAAAGAGTCACTGTGACCCTGCTACATGTCAAATATATGCAAATATGTCTTTCACAAACATTGACTGACTTTTAGAAGCTTCAAATGTCTGTGTTTTATCTGGAACTGCCTTTTTCAAATTTTTCACTCTACTTTAAATGCTGCAGCAATTACATTTTGGTGCCTAAATGTATGAGAATGTCATCGCTGTACTGTTTAAGGTAGAACAGAAAATTCAAACAAGAAACTCACTTCAGCCTCATCTGAAAGTGTTAATGCTAAACAATGTTAGCTTAGCACTAACAAACTACTAGAATCCTGTAAGGATGCTACCTGGTTAATGCAGATTTTAACACTTTATCTTAAACAAACAGTTCAGTTATACGACAACAAGACTATTTTAACTTTCAAAATCTCCCTTTTGAAAATCAGGCTAACAAGGGACCACCATCACCTCACAGTGCTCCCACAGGCAGAGGAAGCTGTCCTGGACCTCTGGCACAATGTTGCGGTTTTGGTGACCCACTGAACAGGTGCCCATGTCCGGGTGGCCCTTAAGGACGGCTAATCCCCATTGCTTCAGCTTGGCATGGTAGCAGTGGAAAAACATATGCCTCAGCAACTCTCCGTCCAGTTCCACAGAGCAGAAGCCACAGTCCTGCCACAGACAGCTGTACACCTCTTCTGCAAAAATGCACAAAAAGCCAAATAAGTAACCCACAGAAACAACAATGCAACTTGGGAGCTTTTTGTCTGAAATCTAAACTGTACAGTTGCTCAAACTGGGATCCAAATTTTGCTACATAGCGAGCCCTGCATGCAAATACACACAACGAACAACACGTATCTATAAAACTGAAATGACATAACACTTAAACTTATGAATAGTTTACACATACAGTCCAGAACCACTGTAATCTTTCATAAAATTGAGCTAAAATCAACACATGCAGTGAGTGATATTTCAGGCTTAAACAAATGGCTAAAATGCATATTTTTATTTTTACACTGTGCTTTGGAATAAAAAACATCTTTTTTCTGTGTGGATTTTGATGTTTTGATTTTGATTTTCAAGTTTTGCTGAAAGGACCATCCATGCCTACGTTTAGTCTTCTGGCAGAGGCAGACACATTTGGGGCTAAACCCCCTGCTATTTAGTTAAATTCATTATGCCATTGACTGTCACAAGAACCACAGGACAGCTAGCAGCAACACAGCCCCAAAACATCAATAATCCACCACCACATTTGACAGTGGGTATAAGGTGCCTTCATGTTATGCTGTTCCTTTTTTGCCAAATGTGATAATGGTGTGCTTGACCAAAAAGTGTTTGTCGTCTCATCTTACCACATTACACAATTTTGTTTGTAGTTTCAATGACATTTTGCAAAAGCTCAGTTACGGCATTATGTGGCTTCCAAAAACTTTCTTGTTATGGAGGTGGCACCTAACAGTGGATTTTGAAGTCTGAAAACCCCAAGACTCAGCTAAACTGTGCAGTTCTGAAACTGTGATGTTTGGTTTCATGTCTTCCGAGCATCACCCTTTTTGTGCAACTTCCTTTGTGCAATTTCCTAATCTGAGCAGGTCCAAAACCTTATGTTTCATTTGTGTTGACAACTCTTTGGTTTTACCCATGTTGACGGACGATAAGTGGATTTGAGGTGTGTAGCCTCATATTTATACCCTAGGGAAACAGGAAATGGTCACAGACATCAGTAGAGTCTGGAGCCCAGGAGCAATAAAAAGAAAAAAAAAAAAAGAGTTTTTTTTTTCTCCCCTCAAAGATGTAAATTTCTTTGGTTTTAGTTTCAAATATTCTTCAGGGGTGTCAATAATTTTGCCCCATGTGTTTTTGAAAGACTACACCACTTTTAAAACAATAATTGTTATGTATTATTAGAAATTATTTCCATTACATAAATGGTAAGCAATTCCTCCAAACATTTTTGAGCAACATTTGAATCATTATACGTATTCTTTATTTTATATGATTGTTTTTGTCCAGATGCCTTTTCGCCTTCCTGTTACTTTTTTCATTTCTCCATTCCTATCCATTTCATGTAATAGTGTTTTGTGATGTAGTGGTTTTAGTCGCTTCAGATATCTGGTTCCTATCACCACCACTGGAAACAATTCTGACTGTGTGAGATTCTATAGAACAGAGCATTTCACAGCAAACCACTTTCAGTAACTTTATTTACATCTTAAAGATTGAATTAATCAGAAATTTTGAAGAACCAGTGGAATTCCTCTTCAAACACTAAGAAAAACTATGAACTACAGGTCCCTACTGGAGCAGAAGCAAAAGAATTATTATTAAAAAAAACAATCCAAAAACTGCAAACATTACACAATTGTAGTTGAAATTGAGTAAACAAAGCTAATTAATACCCAACTTTGACTATGATGAAGCATTCTCACCTGGTATATCAGGGCTGTCCCTCTCCATCGCTTTGTAATGTTCTTCCACATGCTGACAGAACTCCTCCATCCCCCCAAACGTCTCCTGGCACGTGCCCCACTCACATGCAAGCTCCAAAGTGAACTCCTCACGGCGTGGTGCACGTTTGCCCGGAGGGGCCATAACGCGAGATTAACTGAACGTTAAACTTGGCCAAGTATCTGAAACACACAAAAAACAACAGCATGATACCTACTGTCAACATACTGTCTTTAAAATGACAGGTTAGCTGCTCAGCTGACGTTTTCATCTGAAATCAAAGGTATTAATAGAGAGTTTATCCCTATTTTGCTGTAGTAACAGTCTCTACTGTTCTGAAAAAGCTTTAAACTAGTTGTTGGAACATTGCTGTGAGCATTTGATGGCATTCAGCCTCAAGGTCATTAATGACATCAGGTACTGACATTGTTTAGTTCTGGAACACCACTCCAACTCATCTCAAAGATATAGGACGCTGCATTACACCAGAGAACACAGTTCCACTGCTACACTGCCCAATGCTGGGCTGGCCTTTGTACCCAACGCTGAGCATGGTGACCTTAGGCTTCAGAAGAAATAAATTCAATTCAATCCTGTAACAAATCTATCATGAAATAGTGATCACTCACATAGTGTGATGTTAGCTGTGTATTTCTTCCTGTGGGGTGTGTTTGAATAATAGCATGACAATATTTTTAGATGATCATCCTAAGTATTTTAATTAAAAATAGCTCATTTTAAAGCATATTTTAAAGCGTACTGCATACTTTATTAGTCCTCTTTAATTAGATTTAGTGTGTGAAATGTTTAACTGAATTCATCATTTTTGATAGTATTTTTAAAACGTGTCACCAGTTTGTCTGTTCTAACTTAGCAGATGTCAGAAAAAAACAAATATCATGGCACATCATGTGTTAGAAATAGCCTTAAGTATTGTGAGACTACATTTTGCAATATCATAGGCAATACAACATATTGCAATACTTGGAAGACCTTTTCGCGAAATATAATATGCATAAAATTTTTTTTGTTTTCTGAGATATGATAAGCTGGAACAGAAAAAGCTCATCATTGTCGCATTAAAAAAAAAAAATCAGTGAAAGACGTTATGGGTATAGTCATTTTTGTTCAGTTTTACATACAGTCCTGCAAATAATCTAGCTAAACAGAACACTAAATATGCTCTCTTAGTAAGTTGGTCATGGTTTTCTAAGAACTGACGATGACCACGATATGCTCAGAAAAGGGTGCTGTGACATAATTTATATCGGTAATGTTAAAGTCTTGTCATGTTGCCCATCATTACTAACGCGTCACCTTGAACAACAAGCGTATTTGACGCCACGTGGTATCGCTGACTGACGAAAACACATCGCACCTTTAAAAACGCTTCTTTCTTTGCCCCCTTTTGGCCTTGCTGTAAATCAACTTAATCCTTATTACTGAAGGATGATCATTAATATGTTCATAATAATACATTAAAGGGTTTAACCACACAACAGAAACCCACAACTGATTTGCGACCAGCGACAGCGAACAACCTGTGCGTTAACGCCGTTAGTAAAGCCAACCTCAAACGGAGGCTTAAAGGGCAATTCCACCGATTTTTCGGTAAGGTTTTGGCCTGAAATGTATCTTTTAAACGACATTCATGGTGGAGGGGTACATGCAGGACACTATAAGGCAAAATAGTCCCCAGAAGAAGAAAAAAAAAAACATTTTTCCAGATGTACTACTATTTTAGTATCATGAACTACACATATAAAACTTCAGAAGACACGTGTAGCTTAACTGGTGGTTTTGCATCGTAAATAAAATGGCTATATTTGCGCTTGTAGACATTGAGACCCCGATTCCTATCACTTCCGTTGAAAAGACAGCCTGACCTGGGTGAGTTGCTAAGTTTTTCTATGATGTATCATTTCACATCAGAACGCTCTGAATCAGTTTGTTTAACCTGCATCTCAACCACTGAACTATGCTTTTTTTAAAAAACGGTGGAATTGCCCTTTGAAAGGCGCGGTAAAATTAAAGAATGAATTAACTCGCGGGTTTCCAGCACAGTCACGTATATCTATCAATAATGCTAGGCTTAACGCCACTGCAACATACATGGTTACATTTGAGCACCAGAGTTAACAGCCAGACAACGAACGAACCCAAAATCTATTTATAACTGATGGAATAACGTTACTTTTTACGTCTCTCACAGGCCGGTTAGGTTAGTTAGCTAACTACTCCTCAGTAACTGAGAGGAGGATGTGGGTTTGATAGCCAGTTAGCATGAGCGTGACAACTTCAAGTTAGTATCCAGTGGCGGTTTTTGTATTTGTGGTATAAGATACGGAAAGATCGTTTCACTGTGGTTGTTTTTAACAGTTTCCTGTTTAAGTTTTGTTTAAAAGCTCCAAATTGACCCACCTTGTGCTCCTGTTTTTGACATTTCCTCCGCGCTGCTGTTTCCCACAAAAACAAACGAATCGCCTAAACTCCGCCCCTTCGCGGAGCAGCCAATCAAAACAGGTCTCTCTCAGTCCGTCGGAGATCTCCTTCCTCCGGACATTCGTGTCCTCTGAAGTGTTCCGTGTAAACGGGGCAATACCAGAGAACCTGTAGAGAGGAGAATCACCTCTCTGCACTGTCTTCCGTGTTTCTCAAACGCTAGAGGGCGCTCCCGAACGAGTCCAAAATGAATGGGTTAATATAGAGCATTTGATCAAAATCATAGTTTATAAATGCTTAAACATTTTTAATGTAAAAATATACAATCATTTCCTGAACACCGAATATCATAAAACATTTTAACACCGCTGTTATATTTTTAAGAGCTTTTAAACTCGAGTTGTAGGAGTTTAAAACGGCGCCTCATGTACGTCCATGACGTCAGTGAGTGCTAACAGCCAATGAGCTGCTCCGCTCGCCAATCAATCATCACGCTCTAGCACTAATGCCCGCCTCCTGCCGCCCAAAACCCGTTTGCTGTAGAAAAAAAGGAAACATACAGGTAAGATTTCTTTGTTTGTTTTTTTTGTGTGTGAAATACATCCTTCTACTTTCTTAAATTAAAGAAACGTTCTGGGTGAGTGATTAGAAACTATTTTATCCTTTGGGCGCCATTCACTCCCATTCATTGAGGACTCACTCGCGGGCGCCCTCTGCTGTTTAGCAGTCCAATTTTTGATATAACAGGGGGGATAGGAAGTGGCCGGGCTCCTCTTAAACCGGCTCTGGCAATACAAAATATATCTATACGCAAAAGAAACATATAGGCAGGTGACTCATTAAAGTGTAAAATCAATATAAAGTGTCTCAGTAAGGTCGCCAAAACAGCTTTAAATCGCCTTAGCGTAAACTGTATAAGAGTGTGAAACTGTACTGGAGGGATGGCACAGCATTCTTCTATAGGATATTCTCTTAGTTGGTATCTTGATGGTTGTGAGAGTGCTGTCTAACACAGTCAAAAATCTTCCACAGGGGCTCAACTGGGTTGAGATCTGATGAGTGTGAAGGCCACAGTATATCATCAAACCTTTCAGTGACCCCTCATGCCCTGTAGAGGGGACACTGTCATCCTGGAAGAGACCACCCCCATCAGGATAGAAATGTTTCATTATGGAATGATGATCTGTCAGAATAAGTGTATTGATTTGCAGTGACCCTTCCCTCTAACAGAACAAGGGGACCCAAAGCATGCCAGCAAAATGTCCCCATGGTATAACAAAACCATCAGACCCCCTTATTGTAGAGGTCAAGCATTCAGGCCTGTACTGTTCTCTTGGTGCACATGCACTTGTAGAAAATAAGGTAAAGGATGACTGCTTTGCCCACATCACTTTTTCCCACATCTCTTTAAACCAGTGCTTAGGGGTTTTGCTCCACTAAACTCTCAAATGTGCATTCATCTTTGTAAAGAGTGTATATGGACTGCAACAGTACTATAATATCTCTCTATGTAGCTGTGACTGGACTGTTCTTGTTGATGCAGCAGTAAAATTTTAATGTTGTTAGAATTGAATTCTGGCCAATTTCATTTGAATAGTATTAATAACCTATTCACTTACTGAAATGTAATGTCTGATATCAAAAATTGAATTGTTTGTCAGCCAGTTGATATGCATTTGTGTAATTCAGCAAAACCATAAAGGTCTCCTCCAAGAATGTTTAGATGAAATATGCCTTTCTCTGCAGAAAGGTGAGGTTGCAAGTTTCATATATTAGAAGTACAGATCTTCACAATCTTAGACAAGTCATGCTGTTTTATGTGAGACTTGGCTCAATTGCAGTTACCTCAGACTATGTGAAACAGCCCAATTATTAACAATTACTAGTGTAATATTAAAAAATTGGTGAAATAAAGCATCACAATAATAGTTTAAAAATGTTTAATTTCAACCCAAGCTCTTCATGAGGAGAGTAAACAATAATTTCTGACACATATTCGGTCCAGTGTCAAACTGATGAAACCACAAGGCTCAGGATTGGATTGGAAATATTGGATAAAGGAAAAATATATGTATTTATATGCATACCATAAAATCTCTAGGCATTCGCTCAAAAATGACACGAGTAACTTCTTCAGGTAACAACAAATATATTTCGCTTTGTGCTGCTCAGCATTCAGGCTAAAATGTGTTCTGAAAAACCCAGACCCTACAGGCAAGACCCCAGAAAAACTACTCACATTTCCAAACTACAGTCCATCAAAACAGAATTTAGAGATGGGAGGTTACTGTTGATATGTACTGTACTATACTTATTTTTTAATCCACATTTTGCACTTTTACTTGAGTACAATGTAAATGAGATTGTACTACAAGCTTTCAGATTTAGTCCTCTTGCACTTCCAAGTGCAAAAATAATGAATAGGGATTACTAAGTGAAAGAAATCACTGCAGGCATAAAATTTAATGCTGAAGTACTTCAGTGGTCCTACCTTTTTATTTACTCATTCAAACAATTACATTTGCCAGGCAGTTTGTCTCTGAAATAGCAATGTTTCTATATTCCTTCAGTATTGCTTCTGCCATAGGCTAAATAGTTCGGACAGAGTTAATGTGATGCTCATTTATCCCACTTCATTACTGTATTAGAATTGGTACATTTCAGAATTATTTTGACTGTTGCCCTTCTGTCCAAGACGATTGAACCATGATGCTGAAAGGCTTGACTGTGCACCTTCACATATGGAAGTGTTAACACAGTGCTTGAATTGTATGACACTGTAAACAGATCCTCAGGCAAGTGGTAAATGAGAGGCTGACTTGCAGCCATTCAGAATTGCTCTTAATCCGTTGTTAGAAATACAGTAATGTTGTTTCAGGAGGGAAGTCCCTGTTGCTCTTATGCGTTCTGTGTGGCGAGGGCTAGACATCATAGAAGAGCCGAACCAGATGATACCTGATTCCGAAAGCAATCACACTCCCCAAGACCTGCGTAAGATGGGAAAATGCAACATTTAACTTAATCAAGGCAACACAGCATGAGAGAAGGCTTGAAAGCAAATGACAAACCCTAAACAATGAAAAAGGATCTAAGGCTATGTTCACATCACATGCTTAATGTTAAATCAGTTTTTCTGCACGAATCGCTTTCTGTCTCACGGTTTGTATTCAGTGACCCATATCTGTCATTAATGTGACCACAACTCTGCCCTGAAAGGAACAGCCTGCAGACATTTTTAAATTAATATAAAGATAGGCAGGGTTGGGAACGTTACTTAAAAATGTATTTTGATACACATTTCTGATTACTGATAATCCTGAGTATGTTATGTTACTTTTGAATTGTCTTTAAATTATATGACTTTAAAAAAACGGTTCGAAACAAATATTAGCAAGACATCTTAAAACAAGACAAAACAGGAAAACTGCAGTGTTTTTTTAAAAAAAAAGATTATATGTAACATATATAGTCATATAAAAAGTTTTCCCTTGTCAAATTACATGTTTTGTTGATTTTGTAATCGAAAATAAGTTAACACATCCTCTACAGAGAACACCCTTAAATATGGCATTTTTGTGCAAATTCTGAGGCACAATTTCTATTTTTTTTAGAGTTTAACATTGAAAAAAAAACATAAAATATTAAATGTGCCTGAAAGATGTGTGGGATGATAATCTGATTTGAGCAAAGAAAATCAGATTTTTGTGGTCACATTGTTCTGACAAAATTAGGTCTGTCACATTCAGGCAAAATAAATAAATAAATAAATAAATAAATCAGACTTGTTCCATTTCAACAGTGTAATGTGAGCTTAGCCTAGTAGAGGTGGTCATATAGGGAAATGAAATACAGAGGCTTTAGACTGTACCCTCACCTGTATTAAGAGCATAATGGCTGTGAGGTTTCTTTCATGTGTGGGGCCTAGTATCTTCAGCACCAGGTTAATTAGGGTCATGTTATTGCACTCAATAAACTCATCATCTCCCTCCTGACCCCTGCGCACGTCTAGCAGCCATAACACTTCTGCCACCTGCAGGACAATGAAAGAAATGGAGGTTTTTCATCAACTAAATCTCTCAGTGTAAAAGAGTTACCCTAACAGTTTTTTCCAAAGTTATACTTCAAGTCACGTCATATTCTTTGATAGAATTCTCAAATACGTTGAGGGTATGTTCTGCCTCACCTTTATAATAAGCTGTCCTAATTTGCCAAGGTCCTTCTGTTTAAACTTAGAGTAGCTCATGCCAAGCTTTCCAGTGTCCGCCTGCAATCTGCAGACAGATTCAACACATTTATACTTCAGAAGTCAATTGACTTTGATCAAAGATTTTGTCTCAGATCTCACAGATGATTGTGATAAGTGTGGAACAACTTAGGAGTCCAACCTAGCTTCAAGTCAACTGTAATAAAAGGATGTAGTATCAAGATTGTTGAGTATTAGAACTTTGGTATCATACAATAAATTGCACCGTGGCTGTGTGTAAAACAGTGTCTCGATGGTCTGTTTTTCCTCAGGAAGATGAACCTTTTTAATGTGAATTCCTCTATGATGTATAAAAGTTTTATTGAGTTACTTTTAAATTATTCTGTTGCTACATAGTTTATAGAGATTAACTGATCACAAGTTTTCATGGCTGATTCTGACTTCTTTCCAGCCAAACATTTTTGCTGATGATATTTATAACCTTGTGATATTTATTTATCAAATTGTGTGGGTTTAGTGAACACATAACAACACACTAGCACATTCCCAGCACTGTCTATTAGCCAAAGTCACAATTCTGATCTTGCCAGCATGAACAAAATGCCAAGCAAGGTCATCAAATTGCATCACTCCCGGCTTATTGACTTGTATCATAAGCAAGTACTGAAGAAGGCAAAGGCCATTTTAGACTGTCTTGAATTTCCACTGCAGGGAGATTTTTAACTATTGCCGTCAGGCTGATGGTTTTAGATGCAAGCAGTAAGAACTAATAGAGAGTTTAAGAACTCAAGAGCTAAATTTGGGGTGACTATGAAACTGAACTGGGGTTTATGGCACCAGACCTAACTAGCATATCCCTAACCTAAATTATTCTGATATATGTATGTGTTTTGTTTGGCATGTAGGCATGTCCACATCCATTTTTTGTCCCCCCATTCAATTCAAGTACTTAATGAATATTGGGTATTCCACAGTGAATATTAATGAACATTGGATATTCCACAATTTAAATATAACATACCAAGCTACAATAAAATTGGTTAGTGTGTATAATGTAAAAATCTGGTATTTTGATTTATTATGACTTTATGGACAAGAACAGATCCTAGGTCAGCACTTCTAAACTGAGAAACTCTGTAAATACGGGCCCTGTCAGGTTTAAAATGTTGCAGTAAAATCACTGGATTTTTGATCTGCATAGTGATACACACTCTAAACTTATATCTCTTGTTTGTGTGGCATGTTTGTGAAATAACCATGTTATAGATGTGGAACACCTGAATACTCATAGTACTTTGGTATGCATGCAGTAGCCTGCTCTTTTCTCTCAAATTTTCCATTGGATTGGATCAGGACATTACTGGTGGTGTTATATATTGTGTAGTTACTGCCAACCAAATTTCCCCTTGTGAGACAGTAAAAACTGAATTGAACTAAAACAAAAATCTATATACAAATGCAAATGAAGTAAATAAGTCACTGCAAATACAAAATCTGGACTACCTGGGCAAACGATGTCTAGGACATGGGACTATGCGGAACAGCTGAGGCAGAGAATATATGAAGTTTACGACTTGGGGGATGAAGAATAGCAGCATGGTCTTGCTGAAATGGCCGAGAATGCCCACTACAGCAAATGTCATCCCAGCAAAGTAACAGAACGTGTCTCCTACAAATACTGAAGAGGGGTACCTAAGAGACAAGCAAAAGAATGACAGAGCTGATTACATTATAAAGTCATGGCTGTCAAGATATTTGCTGCTTGTATATGGTTTGTTTTGCATTGTTCTTTAGCACTGCATATGATACACTCAGCTGAGAGAAGCCTGTACTGTATTGTAACTTTTTCATTCGATGTAACTGTTAAACAACAAACAGGGATGTATACAGGTATCGTGTTATGAATACATCATTGATGTTACTATAACAATACATTCTGAACAGGTATGTACAACAGAAGACATCAAACAAACCAGTTGTGGTAGAACAGGGCCAGCGTGGTGAAAAAGAAAGGGATCATGAAGTACAAAGAGAAAACATGGTCATCTCTGTAGTCTCCTGCAATGGAAAAGTGGATGTTAGTTAAATCTGTGTAAATGGTATCTTTTTTGTAATATACATTAGCCAGAAAATATGAGATAAACACTACATGAAGCTGAAGAGAGGATGCTTTTCTCATTGCAGGAGAGTTTGTTCATGGAAGCTAGTTCTAGTGCATGATCTGCCACAGGGGAAAGCTTCAGAGAACTTCAACGACCTTGAAATATGAGCTCCTAAAGTGTTTTCAGCCTTCAAATTCATTTTTCTCTCCCGTCTATATTCTGGAAGCTCTGAGGCCTTGCAAGAAGGATTGATTTCTTGGTCATACACAAATTCATTGGAAATCAAAAAATAACCTCAGCTCACCGTTGAGCTCCAGTACATTGAAGATGATGATGGAGCCAGAGATGAAGAGGGCCTGTCCAGACTCAATGCCGTTGATGCCAGCCAGGATGTTGATGGCATTAGTGCAGAACACAGCTAGCATGCCCATATATACATAATACAGGATACCTGCACGAAACAGACCAAATACAAATCCTCAGACATTTACGAAGCAGTACACATGCTAAAAAGATAATACAGGGTGATTCAAAAAGATTAATCCAATTTCAAAGCGCAATATTTTTACAACCATGAGGTGCCTAGGAACCAATTACATACCAATTGAAAGAGGGGGTCATAGAGTTTATGACTGTCAGTTTGGCAGTGAACCTCCAAAAGCTCAGAGCATTCGTCATTGGTACCAACAGTTCCAAGAAAAAGGTCACGCCCAACAACACTGGATGATCTCCGAAATCACATTGAAAGTACAGTGACACCCAACATGCTCAATCAAGTATGGGATTAATTTGACTATCGTGTTGATGTTGTCCATGCAGCTGGAGGAGGTTCATATTGAGCACTTGTAAAATTACATACATTTTATGCTCGTTTACAATTCACTGCATTGTTCGGTAATGATTTATAAGTGAAATAAATCATTTTGAAATCAAATGAATCTTTCTGAATCACCATGTATTGACAGCTCTTTCAGGTGCTATACACAAACCTTGCAAATTATATTGTTCCTTAATATTAACTACACCATTTGTGTTTGCAATAATGATGTTACAAAATGCTACAGTATGTAAATGAGCCTTTAAACTATCTCTGAATGTTTCTTTTGGTGTTTGCAAGCAAGTATTCGTTCAAATGTACGTTATTGATATCATATGAAGTGTTACTGGAACTGTAATATGTAGGAATATAATTGCAATAAGGTGTTTTGTCCATATCATACAGCCTAACCAGAATATTTAACTGCTGCCTTAATCCACCCCCTCAAACCCCTTTATAGTTTATCTGGTCATTTTTTACTCTTTTATTCTTCCTTTTCAAATATCACAGTATTTTTTTTTTATCCCAATAACCTAAAATACCACACTATAACTTTTTCCACACTATCATTCACACATCATTCGAAGCATGTATGCATTTAAAAGAAATTAAAGTTATTTCAGTCAAAGTCCAACTAACCTAGATCCAGATGCATCCCCAGCAGGGCCCGGAACGGTTTGGGCACCACTATGACAGTGTTGCCGAAGTTGGTAAAGTAGACCATGAGGAGAGGCAGTGAGGCCATTGTGGGCAGCAACAGCTTGTGTCTCCATCGCAGGTTTAGCACATCATCAGCAAACCCAAGGAAGATCATGCAGCAGATGGCCAACAATGCACCAATCAGCTGCACAAACTGCATCACAGATCAAGAACAAAAACAAACAGAGCCAGAACAAAGCTTTAGATATACTGTATGCCCAAAAGTTTGTAGACACCAACATTTCTTTTAAAATCAGTGTTATTATAGGGAGTATGCTACAATAACAGCCCCTCTTCTTCTAGGAGGGTTTTACACTAGATGTTGGAACACTTCTGTGAAGATTTGATTGCATTCAGCCAGGTTGGATGATGGGATCTGGATCACAAACACCACTCCAACTCATCCCAAAGGTACTTGATGGTGCCCCATCACTCCAGAGAATGCAGTTCCGCTGCTCCACAGCCCAGTGCTGGGAAGCTTTATACCACTCAAGCCGATGCTTGGCATTGGGCATGGTGACCTCAGGCTCATGTGGGTCTGCTCCAAAGTGTGCCATTTTATTGACAAAGCTTTTTCTACTTAGATTATACAAGCTGTGTTTTCGCAATTGAAAACAGTTTACCTTAAGTGGCTGAATTCACTAATTGGAAGGCATATGTGTAGCGTACCACCAGTGAGAAAAGTAATCAAGTGTACAGAGAAATTAAAGCAACTCAATGATATTGGGATTAAGCAGATTTTGATTACTGGTGAGGGCCTTGGAAATACAAAATGAGAAGTATTTTTAATGCTATTGAGGCACACTCAGTCATCTTGCTTTTACCTCATTGTGTGGAAAGCTACGACACTGCTCTCCCACGAAGCAACCAAGGAAAGGCACAGGAATGAAGAGGAAGAGGATGATGAGGAAGACTGTGCCGCTGATCACACCTTGAGACTCTGGCCTGAAAGAATGGAAAATAGGATGAGTTAGCCATGCTCCTTCATGTCAACAACTCCAGACACATACCTCATCCAAAAAAAAAAAACATTTAAAGTAGTGTAGTGTAAAAATAAAACAACTTGAAACTCACACTTGTTTTTTGCTTGTTTTGTTCATGTCCAGGCCATAGAGCCTGGCAGATATGAAATGCTCCTTGAAGGCTGGAATGAGCTTGAGTGTCGCAACACACCCAAGAGCAGACATGCAGCAGTTGATAATAAGGGGGAGGATGGGAATGGGAGACATTTTTCAATTTAACTAAAACTATTACTTTACCTATTACTGTAATATAGCTTGGACAGAGCGATGCGGACCGTTTAAGTTCGAGAGAAAAGTTAGTGAGTTCCTTGTCAGTACATAAACATTTTTCCTTCACCGAACACGACTATGAAGCTTTCAAGCCTTCTATTCAGAGAAAACACAGGCAGACTCCTGTCTGTCGGTTACGTCTGTCAGACTATTGAACTACCAACTTTAGTTAATATGCTTATAAATCCTAAAGTAGACGAAAGTAGTTCTAAGGACATCTTAACAAAATAGCAAGAGCTAATGTACGACCTCTTTCGTTGTTTTAAACCACAACTGCTTCATGAATTTTCAGCAAGCTGTAACTCAGCCGCTCAACAGAGCAGTCATCAGATTAATGAATGACAGTTCAAGCTAATGTAGCTAGCTAACTAGCTCCCACAGCAATAAGTTCACCGTGTTTCAGGTATTCCTCGTTAAAAGCGTGCATTGCTAAATTACAGAAAGCAGACTATAGAGTTGCGTGAACGATTATGGTTTATAACCCAAAGATTAACGTAGCTAAACGCTAACTCTTGAAAATTCAGCTACATTTGACAGAAACGTCGCTGTTTCCAGCCGAGCCGCCGGACAAACTGAAAACTCCACGTCTACTTCCGTCAACATGAACGCTGCATAGTCTGACCTTTCATAAAAATCTTTCCAGGCAAATAAAACACAAACAACTGCATATTCGAGCGTAAAACTCAACATACAAAATCGATCTAAAATACACGGACGAATCTTCTTTCGGCTTCAATTTTACTGAACACTGAAACGGAAGACCTCGGCGTTCGGTGGTGCGTTCAAGCAACACATTTGTTTAATAGCATTCAAGCTAAAAATTTAACGTCTCTAATCGAGCATTTTGAACATTGTGTTTTATGTTTATCGTATGTCAGCACACTGCTTCTTTATGTTTGTCATGAGTTAATATATGGGAAAATATTATTCGTGTGTTATTCGTCTGTGACTATCATCATCAATGAAAAGGAGCTGAGATTGTAGGACGTTCCACGTTGCTAAACGTTCACTTTTCTGATGCTGGTGTAACATTATACTCTGTAATCCCGATTGAAGCGATTTTTAAATTCGCATTTCGACACATACAAATACAGAAATAAATATTTTTTAATGATTAATTGCAATAAGTGGTTATATGATATTGGTTGTCATCAATATATCCCACAACCCATTTCACAGCCCGTTCTTAAAGGGGTATTCCACCAATTTTTCAAAATGTTTGCATAATTCAGTTATTGCAATGTAATCAAATTCATCTGATGTGAAATGTTTCATTGTAGAAAAAGTTACAGATTCAGATTTCTTTACAGTGGTGGTGATAGGAACCAGGGGTCACAGTGTCTATAACATAAATATAGCCATTTTATTAATTATCTGAAATCACCATTGAACTTACACGTATCTTCTTCATAAAGTTTTTATATGTAATGTTTATGATGGTAAAATATTGGAAAATCTGAAAAAATACGTTTTGTTTGGGGACTACTTTGCCCTGGATGTATACTTTCGCCACGAATGGATTAAAATGGGTTAACAAGACATTTTAGGCTAAAATTTCAACACAAAACTCTGTCACAGGCATCAAGTAGCGCTCATAACCCCTTTCGTCTAGTTCGTACCAATTTTGAAAAACTGGTGGAGTTCCCCTTTAAGTGCATTGTAAAGAAATCTGTTGATTCTGATTTATTTACAGTGGTGGTTGTAGGAACCAGGGATTGTGATAACACACATGTGGACACTTTACTAAAATGACCAGTGAATCTATGTGTCCTATTTTAGGTGTAATGCTGACAACGGTAAAATTGTGGTAAATGAAAAAATGTTTTTTGGGTATTACTTTTGCTTCTACACCCTGCATGTACCTCTCCGCCATGAATAAATGTGAAAAAAGGACACTTTAGCCCAAAAGCTTGTTTCAAAACTATCATGTGATAGTGTTCTGCGAGGTGGCCTTTAGAGGCATTAAACTCGCCAGAAGGCAAAAGGCGGCTGAGAAGAAAGAGTGCGCGCTACCGAGAACATGCAGTACATGTCCCTTTAAATGCGCGCGACATGTGCTGTGAAGCTCGAATCAGTTTAGCGAACCGATTCTTTCGAACTGGACGTTTCAAAGGATTAAATGTCAGATTCAACGAATCATTCGTTCTCAATCGTTTACGATCTGCCCCATTTAGTGTCTTCACTGCAAAAACACATGAGCAGTTTTGAGCAATAAAAATTTCATGTTATCTTGGTAGATGAAATTCAATGATTTGTGATTTTATGGGGCTAATTTTAAAAGTTTTTTTTATCATGTGTACAATATGTACAAACATTGTTTGTGATGAAGTTTAGGTAATTACCCTCTACAGCTGTTCAATACAATATATACGTAGGAAAAAAAATACAATATTTTACGCGGTTCCCGAAAGGACATAATGAAAACATTAGTAAATAATAGTACAATAATAATGGGAAAAAAACTCTTGCTTGCAAGATTTAGCCTAATCCTACACTGGAAAGGTTTTTCGAAGTTAACTCGCCATTGACATTACAATATAGTCCTAGACTGGGTTTAATCTGTGACCAGGAAACACCTGCTCTGTGAATGCTCCCAAAGTTGTACTTGTGAATCGGTTCGATTCGATTTATGGAAAAGAACCGAATCAAATGATCCATTCATTCAGGAGTCGGGCATCGCTGGGTGCGCGCGCTGTTTGTGCAGCGATTTTGACAGTTGCGCTCAGCTCTGCTGTCCGTTTCGGGAGCGGTGGGAGGGCAGACGCAGTCATAGTTACGGTCCGGCACGAGCTTATAAGTCAATGTTTCGAATCGAAGTGCACACTACAACGTGGAGAAAATGTTTCCGAGGAGATGCGAGGAACAAAAGTGACCGTAAGACCATAGAAAAAGACGGTTGTTCGGATTACGAGCGAGAATATCAGCGGCTAGCCGCGGAGGCTAACGGTGGTTGTCAGCAACGTTAATGTTGGTTGCCAGGCTGCGTTTGGCGGACTGGCGTCTTGCTGCTGGACATTCTGCAGACTTGCTGTAACGTTATTTACTCATTGTGCCGTTTGTTGAAAACGGTAACTAATTCTTACATTTGTTTGCTTTTTGCGAGCTCATCTAGTCATGGTGTTTACGGCTGACGGAGCTAGACGAAGCTGAAGTTGGTTTCTTATTTCGAAATGTGCGTTCCACCTTAAATGGTGCAGCAGTTACATTCTCGCGCCCTTAACTGGCTACATGCGCCAGAATGCGACATTTACACAGTTTAAGGTGGAACGGAAAATTCGAATAAGAAGCTGGCGAGAATGAAGCTAGCTAGCGTTAACCTCCTTGGTCTGAGCTAGCGAGCTAGGCGGCTAAACTCACGGTGGCCGTAAACAGAAGGGAAATAAATAATCAACAACAGAACTCAATATAGCCAAAGATATTTGCCGAGTTACACGTATAAATGATGTTAGAAACTTAAATAGTGCATCTTTAACATGCCGGTGTGTAGCTACGTAAGTTACCGCCGAGCCGCACTGGCTGCTGTGCTGGTGTGTGGAAGCGAAACGCCGCAGCTAGAGCTGCCAGGTGTTCGCCGAGCAAGATACCCTGAGCGGAGAGAGGGAAAGACACTCTCGCAGTCGGAGACAAGCATTGAATAATATTCTTTTCTCATACGCGGAGATCCGTAAACTCACATTAAATTTGCAGAGCAGCTTGAGAAATAAACGGCTAGCTGGAAGGAACATGCTTTCTTTGAATAAGTTTAATGATTGTGGATTTACTGAACACCAGTGTTACATGTACGTTTGCAATCTGCAAGATAAGTCAGTGTATACAAGCCTTCAGGTAATTCACTATATTAGATTATGTAGCCATGATCTTCTTGGGGTACAAGCTTAGAATTTGACATTTTTCTGTACGTGAATTATGCTATATAGAGCGTGGTGTTCTTGTCTCTGACTTGAATATTTTCATATTGTCCCGTTCTCCTTTCAAGACCTGCATGTAAAAGAATTCACTCCAGCATTTGTATCTCCTTCTTTTTTATTTTGTAAGTTTTTCTGTTGTGCTCGTAATGACACCCTCTCTCCATCTCCACAGACTCCCACCTCGATTAATCAGAATTTCCAGCCCATAATAAAAATGCGACTGAAGTGATCGGCGAGAGGGGAGATGATGAGTTTCCAGGACGTGAGCTGGCTGGTGCTAGTGGCACTCTTCTGTGTCTCGCTGCTGGTCGTGCTAGCCTGGCTTGTTCAGTTCTCCCTGGCCTTACTGAGGCCTAGGAGAGGTGCCAGGCTCCAGCGGAGCGAAGAGAGCTCCTGGCAGCTGCCCCTCAGCCTCACCCACCAGACTCTGACGGGCGGAGTGTGGGGCTCCCTCCTGAGGCTCCGATTTGGGCGAGATGGCTCGGGAAGTGACACTGAGGCTGGGGTCAAAGGGCTCCTGTCCTCCCTCTTCGCGTTCAAGTCGTTCAGGGAACACTGGCAGAGGGCGTGGGTGAGAGCGCTTAACGAACAAGCCTGCAGACAAGGGGTGAGTTAACACTGCATTAGAATCAGATGTTTGAGGGAACGCATGTTACTGTATGACATTAGTAAGAAGTTGTTTTTGTGTATGGTTGGTCCTGAGACTGTGGCAGTGTTTGAACATATGTTTCTGGGCATTTGTATGTAGGTGTGTGTTGTCATATCTCGGCGTGCATATATCTATGTATGGGCACAGGTATTTATAGACTTTGTTTCAGAGAGGGTGTGTGGGCACTGTGTGTGTAGCAGGATTACTCGTTAGTCAATGTGTAGGAGTTTGAGTTTCAGGAGTGAAAGACAGGTTCTTGTGTAACGTCTGTCTCTCTCTCTTGCTCTCTCTGCATTACATCATATATCATATCTTTCTCCTGAGGCTTGTTTCCTATACTGTACATACACACACACACATACACACATATATAATCACTGCTGTCAGAATAAAACATAGCATCTCCATTTTTTGTTGATTTTTAAATTTTTTAAATTGTTTGAAAATGCCTGTTGCCCTTTACATTGTATGGAAATTTCATGATGAATGGAGCAAAATAATTGGCCCAAAATAACTTGGGGGGGAAAAAAGTCTGGTTCTATTGACTTACATTAAAAGTAAAGTGTGGTTTTGATTCTCCTGTGAAGTTCTCATTTTGAAGATATGAGGTTTTGTTCTGACAGCAGTGGTATATATACATATCCTTCTGTGGTAGACAGAAAAAATTTTGTACAATGAAAGTAAGAATTTGTGACAGTATACATTGTATTTATGATTAACAAGCAGACTTCTCTACCTAAAATCAGGTGTTGTTTTTAAAAAGTAAATATTTATTAAAACTTCTATTAAGAATATTGCTGTTGTGGCGACTGGTGGTCCCCTCTTCTGAGATGCTGACATCATTGAATCTAGGTTATGTTGTTAGGTACTGTTTAGCTTCTACATTGATAGCCCCTCTGTATGACAGCAGTTTATTTAACACCTTTTTATTTAAGATCTTATTTCCAAGAATGATATTAGCAAACATTTAGCCAAAGGAACAGCATCTGGGATGCCAGGGGACCAGCGCAGTGGGGTGGACGCCCACGGTCATGCCACCACGTTAGCTATCGCAGGTGGTTAAATGATTTCAACAACATCTGATTTCTCTGATTAGTCACCATGTCTCATTTCACAGGTTGGTTAAAAGGGAAAAACCTGTACACTTGTGTCACAAGCTCTGCATTTAGTGGAGAAAATCTGAACTGTTGTGCCCAGGGGCATTGGGCAGTATAAAAAACATATAAAAAGTCTTCTTCAATCAAGGGAGTCCTGGGATCCTTTTTATGGTCACTCTTTCACACTCAAGCTGTTAATGTTGGCTTTCACAGAGTTTGTTTAATTAGCTATGCAGTGTAAGTCGTAGTAACAACACTGCCAGTACCTCACAGATGTTTGCACTGTGTGTGTTTAGTTTTAAGATGCCAGCATTCATGGGCATGTTGTGAAGGCTCTGACTCCCATATGCAAATTTGAGTTGTCCTTCATTTTCTCTTTTTGTTCCAGAAGCTCCAGGGTAGGTGTTTTATTTGTCTTCTGATCTGAAGCCAGCTTCTCCCTTTGTGCTTTACTTGGAAGACCATGGAAAACTGGTCTCAGCTCAGTACAAAGGGTGACTTCTACCAGCACTGAGCATATCACTCAGACTGTTCAATATAGTGTGAGATAGCTGGCGTGTCCAAAGGTCTCCTTTCCTATATTTAACCGTGTCTCCGTTTGATCTGCCTGGGTATCAAAGCTCAGTGCCGTAGACTGCCCTCTGGGCACAGAATGAGAGAGTGAGTGATGTCCTGCCTCCCTCGTTCTTTCTGCCCCTCGCCTTGTCATCGTTACGTTTTCTGTGTGGTGGCTGAGTTTAAAGGGGGTCAATCTGAGCCCCAGTCACCCCTCCACAGGAGAGAAGAATGACACTTGGTGGTACCCAACCCCTTCCCACTTTAATATCTCACATGATTTGACTTAGGACTTGCCCAGTTTGGAAACATCCAAAAAGGCTTTCAAGTGATGTTGTCAGTGAAGGCCATGCAGGTATACTTGTATATTTGTGACAGGTAGCCATCTACACAATTGTTCTGATCAGCTGGAGTGAATGTTGGTATGTTGGAAATTTTAACTGTTTTGTCTGCCCGCTCATATGCGACGTTCCCGCATATCCGAAAGCATCTCAGCTGATTTTAATGCTGTCGGGTCTCCCTGAATCGCAAAGGTGTTGTAAAATAGGAAGCAATGAGATTATACTCGAAACGTCGTCTTCCACTCCATTTCTGTCGCAAGGTCTCCAGCCAATAGTTGTGCCACTTCAGCAACCTAGTTATTTCATAGGTTGTCAAGGGGAGGTGTGCGGAGAGGATGTTGGTTATGCAATTCTCATGTCCTCCAGCTTCAGTTTTTCCACAGTCAGTCGTATTTTTCAGGGAAAAGATGAGAGATCCAGCAGAACGCTGTTTACAGGACCTCCGTTTAATTTCAGGTGTGGATGGGAGCCAAGTGCAGAAACAGCACCAAGCATTTTCGTTCTGTCGATTGCTGTGTAAGATTCTGCAGAGCATGATGGACTACGCTGTTGTGGAGTCAGGGCTTTTCTTAATGAAGTGTTTTAAATTCAAGAGTCTCTCTTGTGACTACAAGACAAATTAGCAAATGCTTATTTTTGAGGTATTGAGGTCAAATGTGAAGTGTGTGAGTGAACTTAAGAAAGAGGTGGATATCATGCCATGTGAATGTGGCAAAATCCCATGTTAGGTGCCTGACCCTGCTGCTCTAGAGAGAGAGATGCTGAGTCTCCCTGTTCCTCCAGTATGTTTCTCTGACCTCTTACAGTTGTTTCCAGGACCCCAGTTACATGAACAACAACACTAAATGAAAGAAATGTTTCCTTTTTAGTTTGAAAGGACACAGTCTTTGACCAAAAAGGCATATTCAGACATTTCAGTCATTAAATGACCTTGCAACGTGAGGATATCTTCCTGGATGTACTGAAGCAAGAGGTTTATTGGGGTCAGAGGATAGTTTTGAGAATAACTAGCCTTGTTAATCACCTTTCACTTTTACATTCAGCTGATTAGAAGTATTGCATGATGAAATGAGGATTTTGTAGAAGCTGAAAATTGAATGTTTTCTAGGAACTCCTGCTTCTGTTTCTTGAGACTGTTAAGTTCTCTTTTGTTTGTTGAATATCCTTCCTCTATTTTTTTTATCTAAATATTGGTCATATTGTATGTTTGAATGTTCTTAGAGGCTTGCTTGTGAAAGCCTCTCAGTCTGTCAAAAAAGGTTTAGTGAAAATGTTCCAATTCGGAAACTCTGATCTACATTCTGTCTTCTAATACAAGATAAAAGACTTTCGGTTTTAGGTTTTCATTCAGGAGGAAAATATATGCTTTGTTGAACAGATCAAGGAGCATATTGTCAGATTAGTCTGCTGCATAAGCTGACCAGTAGCCAGGGTCTACACTGCGTTGGAACCTGCTAACTCATGAGGAATGATGACTTAAGGTGTTTTTCTTCCTGAAATCAAGGAAAAATCCTATTTATTTTGACTGTATTTCTTGATTTAAGAGAACACCTTGGATCTCTTTGCTGATTTGTATGCTACAAGATGGCACCATAAGCATTGCTGTGACATGCGTGGTTTGGGTTCACACTGTCGTCATGCCACCACATTTGCTGCCAAGACGTCAGTTTCCTAGCACTTTGTGCATCTCATGTGCTGAGAGGTGGGTGAAATGAATACATGTTCCAGGTTAATTCCTCATGTTCTTCAGATATACACTCCGTCTCGATGGAAACCCCCCACCCCCTCAAACATGCATGATTAAATCTATCTGACCTGAAAAACCTGCTAGTGGGATTGCAGTGAGGGAGTGTGTGTGTGTGTGTGTGTGTGTGTGTGAGTGAGGGAGTGTGTGTGTGTGAGTGTGTGAGTGAGTGAGTGAGTGAGTGAGTGAGTGAGTGAGTGAGTGAGTGAGAGAGAGAGAGAGAGGGGGAGAGAACAAGAGCTCAGGTCACGAGTGTAAATTACAGCCTGCGCTAGGTCATGCCCGACCACCTTAACACACAGCAAGCCACCTGTTGGCATAGCTCTAGGAAAATTGATATCCTGGTTCTGTCTCGGTCCTAGTGACAACCTTTTTAGACTCATATATATATGTGTGTATATATACATATACACACACACACACACACACACACACACACACATATATATATATATATATGTATGTATGTATGTATGTGTGTGTGTGTATGTGTGTGTGTGTGTGTGTGTGTGTGTGGGTATATATGTATGTGTGTGTCTGCACGTGCAAGACAAAAAGAGAGAGTGAGAAGGAGGTTACAGAAGAACTTGTCTTTCATCTTTTCCTGACATTCAGATTAGTGTCACTTTTTCTAGTATACGCTTACTGTAACTCTATGGACCTGTTTAACCAGTTAGGGATATTGTTTGGGCATAGAATGCATCCACTATTTGCTTTGTTGCACTACAAAAAATAAAGATTCCTAAATTATTTCCATGGATGGAGGGTTCAAGGAAAAACCTGTAATTCATATAGAACAAGGAGGATGTACATCCAGACTAATCTTGATGTCTGAGTTAAATGTGCAATAAGCGTTTTTCTTCTTTGCCTTACGAAACAACCAAATTGGAGACAACTAAATTGGGGAGAAAATTGGGTTCAAAATCCAAAAAAATTCTTCCATAACTTTGCTATCACTTCTAGTTGAAATGAATAATTTTTTATCCTGATAAGGGCCAAGCAGTATTACATCAATATTAAGTACTGCATAATAGGAACTAGTGTCGTTTGGACGACTTCTGTTTTTAGATTGCTGAAAGCATTCAATTGGTATGTAGCTTGAATGCTATTAGCGTGTATTCTAGTGCCAAAATACTGCTATACTTCGACGCAACAAGTAAAGTAATTGTATATTCAATTGGTTAACTTGGTTAAAAAGCAAGTTTGGCATCCTTCTGAAGT